TGCAGTGCCATCTCAGACGACTGCATCCACCCACTTGCCCGCAAGAGTCTGTGCAGCTCCCACCATGCAAAACAGTGACCAGCTCCTGATTGTATCAGAAGACAGCTGGCTCAGCATCCACTCCCCGGTGCTGGTTCGAGTATCGTAACAGCAGGCCAAGTGGGCGAGCACTCGGATGATTGCTGATTCCAACCCGGGAGGATATGAGGAGAAAGCAAAAAATCATTCCAAAATGAGAAGGATAGCTTGGCAGGTCATCATTACAGGCTGAAAAAAAGCATTCATCAATTCAACTTAACACCCAACTACATTGATGCCCCTTCTTCTCTCAAAGCAAAACACACCAGCATGCGTGCTCACACTCTCATTGACCTTGGAAATCCCTGTAACATGAGGAAACAAGGAAAAAACAAAAAAGGCAGATATGATTTGCTCTGCAATTCTTCTTCTTGTACCAAGAGAGGCAGGCCGTTGACAACATTTATCTATCCTAGTCTCAGTCGGGGGTTTTTAGCAAGGCGTGCACAGATGGAGTGGGCAGCCTAGGGGGTAGGAAACAACACAGTTTACTTACCATCCGCTGTGTTGAAAAATCTGATTATCCTGAGCTGTAATAACCCCTGCTTCTCCGAAACTGGGGTTCAGATAGGTCTTGGGCAAAAAAAAATGTCTCCTTTCGTGTGCTCCCACTCTGGCATTCAGACCTCCTCACACAGGGACCCTAATGCTTGCTCGGTGGTAATAGAGATCATAATTAACACTAAATTAAGATCATATAAATGAAGAGAACAACCAGCGTGGCATGCCCGTAACAGACACAGAGGCCAGTGAGGGATTAAAATGTGATTCATACTTTTTAATTTAGCTACAGAAATGTGTCCAGCGCGCTGTGGAGGGGTGGCAGCATGGCGGTAGGGGACGGGGGATGGGCATTACTCGTTCATTTTGCTTTGTTGGTTTCTTTAGAAAGTGCAGAGTTATTTTTTGCCGTCTGTTGCGGTTGTGTGTTAAATACGGCAGGGCTATTAAACTCAACTGCCCGTATAATAGGACATTGACTGCATGAATAAGCTGGAAGAAGCGGCTTGCTGATACCATAAAGTCTCCGTGCAGTTTGTTTGTACACAACCTTGGGGAGACGCTGAATACCAACAAATTTTCATATTTATCCTGAAATACACTCCAACACACTGTTCTCCCCATCACCCCTGCGCTAGGGGAGACATTAGGATTTCATTTGCTCATTTTTTCTAAGAAAGCAGGGAGGTTTATTTTGTTTCTTTGTCAGAAGTGCTTGCCACTGTTATTAAATCCATATTCCGCAACAGAATTATGAATGATCTGCAATCCCACCCCTCCCGTGTTAAATTAAACACTATCAGCCTGTACAGCATAAGTACAGTGTTCATTTTGCCAAATAAAAATCCTCTTCTTCATATCGCATATTGATTCGGATTGTTGTGTCTCTGTTTTGCAGAAGCTGGCGTTTCTTGAGGAAGCCAGCCACATTCCAGCATCACAACATTTTCCTTAAGACTACAAAAGAGGCTGCAATTCACTTCTTTGAAAATGAACTTGACACATAATTAACTCTGTTTCAAAGCACTGGACTTTACCCCTCTCTAAAATACAAGTCGAACACCTACAAAAGTAAACTTACATTTTCTGGGCTGAACAGTCAACAATGAAAAACTGCTAACACTGCTAAACCCTGTCAGTGCTTAACAAACATAACTTATTCAGAGAGGTAAGCATGCACAATAAAGGTAATTAAAACATTCCCAAAAGACTCAGACGATCACAGTGTTTTCCATAAAAGGAAACCTGGTATATCATTAGCATGTATATTACAAGGATTACCAATGTCCTATTCCATTATGAATGAGGAATTACAGTGTTAAATGTGTTTCTGGTTGCACCTTTTTTAACTGCTTCCCCCGAGATAAATCTTTCATCTAAAGAGGCATACCCTCTGAAATACAAACCACAGAGCATTTAAAATATTAAAACTATTTCTCATTTACATTAAAAGCTGTGATCTAGATAATGTGGAACGTGAAGATTCTTTCATTCTATCATTATACGTCTTATTCAAATAAACTTCACAACTTCATTTTTTAATGCAGTATGTATAAAACAATCTAGAAAATAAATACCATTACTAAGCAGTATGTTTGGTCTTCAGCTCCAACTGCCAGAACTATGCTAATATTCTGTGAGCTGTTTGCAGACCTTCCCCTCAAATATGTAAAGAAAACGAGAAAAAATAGTGCTAGTGGAAACAAAGACTAAGCCCCATCTACTTTGCTAGAAATTCTGACAGATTAAAATAGAGCTGATTGGCACACGAATAAATAGATCAAGTATTATTCCAACGATGGTTAGTTTTCTTATTAACTGGGGCCTATTAAACAATATCTGTAAATTTAGTTGGTTTTATAAGAAGCCAGATGTACACTTCTAACTTTTGATAGATTTCTTTGCTTTTCCATGATGCTTTGATTGCTTTGATTGACACACATTAAAAGCACAAGCAGGTGACTTGTGACCCCAAATAAAAACTACAGGTTTCCAAATCATGTAGCCTTAGATTTCTTGTTCAAAGTTCCTCTAAAGTAGTACTTCCCATTACAACATGACAAGGAGTAACATTCCTTTGCAAGGTGTTATGCTCACTAAAATAAAATAAGACAACTAATAAACCTTTCCACCATGTCAGGTGTCACTGTTTTAACACCAAAAATTAGTAAAAGCTCTCGGCTGAACAGAAATTCCAATTCAGTTTTCCATAAACAATACCGTTGTGGTTTATAATAGCTAGAAATCATATCAATGCCAAATCAGAATATATCAGCATACTTTTATCTTAACTACTTGAAGTACACAATTTTAGATGATGGGTGGTCAGATGAAAGGTGATTAGAATACTAAATACAAATACAAAATGCTCCTGGTACACTGATTAAGCCACTGATTAAGGATAGAATAATCCTTTATTATATAGTAGGAAGGTTGCATGATGGAAGACTGGAGGTCCACCACTGAAGTGCAGTAATCCCCTGTGTCATTTACAATAATTTATTTGGCAGATGCTTTTATCCAAAGTGGCTTCCATTATGCAACCAGCAGCTCCACTACAACACAGGTCAAGTGGAGAAGCGAGAATCTACTTACCTAGGAATGGAGAAGGAATTAAAGAGAAATGTCATGAAGGGCAGATCGTGCAAACCCAGTGGAATGGTCAGGACACTGGGGGTCACTTTGTCTACAGTGTTGGAATGAAGCAGGGAAGAGACTGAAGGTTGATAAGCACTTAATAAATAGAAGACAAGGCTATGTTAGTAGTTACTCTACGTAACAAAGATACATAATTTGCATGTGATAAAGTTCTTTCATTTTTGTCTGTCAGAGAACTTAAGCAGTACAATTTGAGATCAGATGTCCTATTTGGAACACATGGTCAAAAAAATCAACACCACCAGAGGGCAGATATGAGACCTGTTGTCACACAAAGGCATTTTCAAAAGCACAGTCCAAGGGAAACCTTAGAATGGGCCTTCTGATCCAAAAAATTCATTCCTCGCAGACGGTGGATGGATTCGAGTACACCATTTATTGAACCAAAACATTGCTTTTGACTAAGTAAATACTCAAATATAAATCCTTGCCATCTGTTAAGGAAATTGTTTTTTTCACATGTGCTCGATATGCAAAAAACAGCCATTTGCTCAAATTAGTTAGCTTGAGGGCACAAGACTCCTTCTGCAGTTACAAGGAACGTCTTTAAAATAAAGCTCCTTAAAAAGATTCTTGTGCCTGTTTACCACAATGGGACCTAGAAATCTGGCACTTAAAGATTCCTTTGGAAGTTTAATTCACAGGATTTTAGAAGAAACTATGCAAAATGTGGACTGTCATTTTCAGTTTTTACCAGTTCAAGAGTATAGGTATTCAAATTTACACATTCTCTAGGAGAAACTTAACACTGACACAGAAAATACAAAACTGGAACTGGGAGAGAAAGAGCAGGTACAAAGCAACATTAGAGATCGATAGTGTAAATGATGCAACAAAATTAGTTATCAAATGGATTTACTGACACAGGAGGAAGTTACTTATAGACAAGCGATAAATCATCAACTTAAGAAAATTGAAAATTAAAACAAATGTTAAAATTTGACATTGTAGAGTACTCTAAGACAGCTATAAAATGAAAAGACATTTCACCAAATAGAAAATTGATTCAAACTTTTCCATAGGTCAGCAAGATTGGTCTGCCCTTAAATGGTATGTGAATGAAAAACTGTCAGAGAAACTAGGCAGACTTCAAGCAGTTACTGGCTCAGTAGAATCGAAACTGTCAAGATCAGAAGAACTTAATACCGGACAACATTCTTAGAGAAGTTTTTACTGAGTAAATAAGTAAAGTAGTTTTTATTTTAAGTAAAATAATTTTGTGCTGACTTTTAGATGTATGTTTCACTTCCTATATTATCAAATGCGGTAAGTGTAGACAGTTTTTTATTTAAACTGGGTGAGTTGCATTTGTGGGTGGCAGAGCTGTTAGCATTTGCGTCCTAGCAGTGCTTGGGCCCTGGGGCGCTATTTATGTGGAGTTTGTATGTTCACTGGTTTCCTCCCACAGCCCAAAGATATACTGGTAGGTTAATTGGCTTCTGGAAAAACTGGCCCCACTGAGTGTTTGTGTCTGTGTGATGGCCAGGTGTCCTGTCCAGCCTATATTCCACATTGCACCCATTGCTTGCCAGGTTAGTCTCTGAGACCTTAGCCTGTGACCCTGTACTGGATAAAGCAGTCAGAAAATGGATGGATGGAGTTATTTTTTAAATCTACTGAACATTTTCTTGTTTTTGCAGGCCACTGCCTGTATAAATAGGTAAAGATAATGACATAATCACTGCCTCTGCTGCAGTGATTATATTCAATATTTGGTACAGTACAAGATAAATATTTTTAATAGTGACATGTTCCAAGAAGAGTGAAGTTTCACAAGCTGTATCATCTTTATTGGTGGCACTGTCATACAGAAAAGCTCATATACAGTATAATTTAAAAAAATCAAATTCGTTATTACATGTCAAGGAGATAATGTACTTATTTCTGGAATAAGCCACATGTTTCAGTACCCTCAGACTCTTATGACACTCAGATACATTTTATATGTGTTTATTCCATTATTTTTTTCAGTTCCAGCCTTATTTTCACTTGACTGGATTAATTTGTTCAGCTCTGTTTCACTGGAAAGACACATAAACTCCTTTTTATCATAGAAATCAGAATGCTAAAAAGACATGCCCCAGTAGAAGGACTGTTAAGAGTTTAACACTACTTTGAAATAGTTTACTATAAATGATCTTCTTATCTTCTTTCTAACAAAGTTTAGTAAAACATTGGTAAAAGTGTGAGCTCCAAAAAAGGTCACAATCTGTCAAGTTTTAGCTGGAAGTTTCTAAAATACTTCAGTCCAGTTTATGTACTCAATTTAGCTACAGAAATCAGAAACTCAGTGGAATGTGATGTGACATCATGTGCCGATTACTGCAAAAAAAAAACCAACAGTGTTTGAAAACAACAAGAAGAAAAAAAAACACGTGTAGTTTGCCACATTTGAGTACTCATCAACAATAGATTCTCAAGCGATGACATCCTTCTTTCTTTCCAGTCTCAGGGGAAGGACATGGAACTGTCAAATTCCAGGAAGCCATTTTCCAGAGCGCCATAACTGTTCATCTTCTTGAGCTTCAGCTGATCAGGGCTGCTTTGCACCAGAGGTTGGATGACAGGTTCTTTGGAGGAAAACATCTGACTTATCTCCATGAAGGTCTTGTTCTTAGTCTCGGGGATAATGAAGTAGACATAGCCCGCCACCGAGAGACAGATCCCACAGAAAATCAGGTAGCAGAAAGCTCCAGCGGACATCTGCACAAAGGATGAGCAAACAGTTTTTCACTCAGGGGAGAATTGGGAAAAGCTGTTGGTCCTTCTGAGAGAATCCCATTTCTCTAGGTCACCCCCTTTCATGAAGCACTTGGAAACATTTTTTCCCTTTGTCATATGCTTTGCTGCGATATCTTGTATTTTTAAGTACTCAAAAAGAATGCAAAGCTCCAGCACAGTTATTCAACTGGTGGGGAGCACCCACTGATTTTTAATCATGCTGAAATCAGGTTAGCATTAAAAATGCAAACCTTCAGTGAAGCACAGTGATAATAATATTATTTACATTAATATTTGCACATATCTCCCCTGCATGACAGAACCACATGAAGACTTGATAGTTCCCAAATTAGATCTTTGGTTATTGTGTCATAAGTGGGACATGGGGAATCTGTTTAAATTGTTGTCTTAATTCCACTAGATGGCACTATGCAGCCTGCTGAAGAAAAAAACCTCAATTAGTAAAAGCAGGTGTTTTTACCTCCAGACAGACTGAAATACAAGTAGGTCTACTGTATATTATGGCGAAGATAAAACCTTCATTATGATATTATATTCCTTAATTGTTGCATAAATATTTTTCTCAGTATGGTAAAACAGGAAAAGTGTTACTCGGACAACGTGGAACTACTGTGCTCCTGAATCTACTCAAAGGTGACATTGCAGCCTTATTTTTGCTTTCCATACCAAACATTACTTCACTGCGCTTCTGACAAAAACCCTTAACCTGAATAAATCGGAAATAAAAAAGGACAAGCATGAAAGTAAATAACTTAAATGTGCAGCCTAGAACTTTAAAAAAGGCAGATTTCCTTTGCAGCTGGAGCAAAGTTAGCTTTTTTCTGAAGGGAATTCAAACTTGCTGATTCTTCACAACCAGATATAAACAACTTAAAACTAATTACAGGATTAGTGCATACCAGGCCACAATACCCCCTCTAAAACAAACGCAGTGGCTTTTAAGCTTTTAATTCTTCTACTGTTTGTCTACCTCTATTTTAGAGCAGGGTTGGGGGGTTATGTGTTAGTTTTGAGTAGGTAATCACGCAGCCAGCACAAGCCAGCGAGACCCATGGGATTCCTCCTTACTTGCAGGAAGGGGAAGACGAAGCCGACAGTGAAGTTGGAGATCCAGTTGAGCGAGCCGCCCACGATGTAGGCCGCAGGGCGGTGGGACTGCTTGAACAGTTCGGCCGTCATCAGGAAAGGCACACCGGCTGCACAGATGGAAGGCAAACACCGCTGTTCACACATCTATAGGGCTTCTGAAGGAAACGGTTTCAAAGTCTGGCTGTTGTCTCTAGGTTTCATCAGGCAATTCAGCTCCCCCCCAACATAGGTCACTTTGGTCTCATGTTAAAATAACTGTCACCTGTGATTCCATGGGATTCCAAGAAACTCACTGAAGGGTAATCTTCAGGAGGTGCAATGCCTTCTGTTGTATTAGAAGCCAGTGAGAAGAATTGCTAGCTAGCTGCTGACTTGGAGGAACTTACAGTATATCATCTTTCTTCATCATTTCACTCTTTATCGACGGAAACTCCAAAGACAGCGCATGCAATTGTGATTGTATGAATATGCTCAAATTATTGCATACATAGCATTCTGTTGATATTTTAGTTACAGTGTATAGTTTGCAAAATAAAATGCATAGATATACAGATGAAAAATAAATTATCTGAAAAAATGCATTATTAAACTACTTTTGAGAAGAATCACACTTTAATACATTAGTGATCAGGAATACAACAATAATAATAAAAACAGTTTAATGAGCTACTTGTTTTCTCTGTATGCTGAAACTACAGATGGTTCCAATGCTTAACTTCTAATCCCTTTTGGTTACAACTGAAAAATAAGCAGACACGAGGTGTTTTTTCAAACCTAATGAGTTTAGGAACAAGCGAAGATGCCACTTCATTATTTGTGCATGATAATTGAGAGAAGAAGCTTAATGTAGTCAAATTTATAAGGAACCCAGTCCGATATTCATTGTTCATGCAGGATTTTGTCTTAAAAAGTCATATTCATCATTGTTTATGAACAATGAGCCATAAAAATCCTAATTAAAGATGTAATTACAGCGATAGAAATTCTCGACTGAGAATGAATTATAGATTTGTTAGAGGGTCTGATAATACATCAATTGTGTAAACCACTCAGGCTCCCATTTATCATTTTTATACAGAGCTAATGCACTTCAGCTATTCTTTATATTCCAACTTTTTCCCCATAGGAAATGTTTAAAAAGGCAGGATGCTATTTTGGACTCTTTCTTCAGAAGATGTCAAAATAAAGGGACTTCTCCAATTTCTGACCACAGCTATAGACATCTGGAAGGTATCTCCATTCAAACAACCTCAGTAATTTGAAGAACATAACTCTGCTTCTAAATAAGTAATGCTACCCTTAACAAATGGTATCATAAGTTAAAAAGGCCCCAAAAATCCTATAAGACTTGTAGAAACATAAACTTGAGGTAAGAAATCTATGAAGAGAACCATGCTAGAGAACAGCAGAATTAAGCAGATATGATAGATATACTTGGCCATTTCTGCTGACCATACCATCTTCATGAAAAGAACAGGCCTCATATTCCTTCTCAGCTGGATATGGTTTCGTGTCTCAATGGTGCCTACACATTTTGCAGATCTCTAAAACCCCTTTCTTCCAGATTAATGGTAATGGTATGTGTTGGCACGGCACATAAGAAAAATCCATGAATGAAGTTCGGATTCTCTGGTAAAGGCAACAGAAACAGGCTACTTTAAAAGAAAGCTAGAAAAACCAGATTAATTCCTCCATTTTGCTATTGTTACTGTACATGTGCATATAGAATCAAAATACGGAAGGCATGTTCATGACTGTCACCAACCTGGACCAATGCAGAACCCTGCGATGATTCCCACCACACAGGCCACGCTGACATAGCGCATGAAGGACAGATAGGTCTGGCAGCATGCAAATAAAATGGGATAATGAAGAGCAGATTACTAACATAACATGGTGAGGACAAACTGTCTCCAACGTAAAGAGTGCATGGCATCTTTACAAACCTGTACAGCACGTACATCATAACAAACACTAGAACATAATTCCTGGAAGTGCTCTCGACAAAAGACTGCAGTTATCATGTCTCAGTCTAACAGCCTACTGTCTTACTACCAGTTACAGTCTTGGATAATGTTCAGTGAAACAGAACTGTACAGACAACAAAGCTGAAGTATTGAGCCAGTAAGGTGAGCACTATTACGATGTCTGTGCCTCCACATTGTTGGAAAGGAACATCATTTTTCAAACTTGTATCCTCCCTGGGATACTCCTCCAATATAAACAAGACCCGAGTCACTATAATAGCTCAAGATCTACACAAGACATGGGCAGACCTCACCACTGCAGGATTTTAAAGAGCACGCCTGCCATAAGGAGACATACCTGTAAGACCAAGGAAATCGTGATCCCTGCGCAGCAGATTCCCATGAAACTGAAGCCACCAATCATTAATGGTCGCCTCCCGAGCCTTTCAATGGTGAAACACTGGGGAAAGGGAGCAGCATGGGGGAAATGCCAGTGAGGGAGATTCACTTTGAAGAACAAATACTATCCAGCCCCTTAGCCATTTCATGGTGTACAGTTTTAATCAAAGACGGACTACAGAATTAATGAGCACACCTCATTTTCAAAGAGACATGTTGTCTGAAGTTATAAATGACCAGAAAACGTACAAATCTGTGCCACTTCAGCACAGCTCCAACCTGAAATTAAACTTCCATATTACGGATTGACTGGGAATTGAGAGCTACTGTACCACCTTAAAAAAAACCAACTCAAAGCGATCATGACAGGAAAAAAAACTTGTGTTTTAGCTTAAAACTTTTATTTTCCTAATGGAATAGAAATAAAAAATAAGAATGAAAAACCAAAAGGAACGTGATAACTTAAAGGGAGCAAAAAGATGACAGCAGGAAGAATCGCTGTAATTTTATAACCAATCTCCCGGCCTCCTTGGGGTGCCATTTACCTCCCCACTGAGGGCCAATCGACACTGACGGAGCTATGAGTTCTCATGACTAACTGCGGTCCTGCTATTGTACTCCAATGCTAAAAGCCGACTCGCAAACAGGCACTCCCCAGATCTGAGAGAGAGAAATAAAGACGGCTCCTCAAGCTTGTCCTCTATTATGTTTATGAAAGGTGGGGCAAGGAAGGGGAGGCAGTCACTCCTGGGATGAAACGAGACACATCGCTCTCCCTAATAGATGTCTAATCTAATTCAGGGTTATATAGCTTTGGCCAGCAACTCCTGAAATTCCAATACACACAGGGTAAAGTGAAGTATATTAAAGATTACCAGAACAGGCCTACCTGTCTTTGGAGACAGCACTGGAGCATCTGGCCTATCATATTTATATATGTCTCTTGTTAAAGTCCCTGTTAACAACAGTTTTAGGGGTTTGCTCAAGTTATTGAAGGGGCTGAATGCAAGTTTTAGATGAAGAGAAGTGGCTTGAGGATTTTGGATCAATAAACCGGGATTGAGACGAGCTGAAAGGCCACTTGCCTTTTATAACCTCTCTATAGTTCTTGAGTTTTTATTTTAAATCACATTTTTAGTCCTTGTCAAAATCCCACTGCTGTTTCTCATGAAAACCTGTGTCCATTCCATCCTGATTCCTGAACCAAGCCTCTTTGTTGTGGAGTGGCAAAACAGCTGGATTCAATTGAATCAAAACTGTTAATGCTATAATGCTCCATCCAAACAGCAGTTGAAATACATAAGGTCCCTTCTCAATCATATATTCCAAGATTAAAATAACTCATACTGTATGTCACACTCACCCCTATAAGTCCTGCGATGACCTCGATTGCTCCTGTTCCCACTGTTGTGTACTGAATCTGAGGCCTGGGAATCCCAGCATTCTCAAAAATGGCATTAGTGTAGAACCAGATCTGAAAGAGGAAAGAGACTCCATGGATTTTAGGCTTGTAGTTCTAACAGGGGAAATATATCAGGGGGTTTTGCAGAAAGGTTTTCTGGAACATCATTGTCCAAGTTAGCAAAAAAGAACACTAGCTCTAATATAGCCCAATCAAAAAAAAACTAATTGCAATATATGCCGTTGATTAATGCCGGCCGTGGCTGTAGCTTCCATAATATCAGTGACACTAAACAAAGTGCCTTCACAGTACCACCTAAACCGACTGAAGGAAACAGATTTAAATGGAGTGGATAATGGTCACTGTGAAAATCAAATCTAAAATACGCCTGTCACACGCTGCCTAATAAAGGTACTATAAAATGCCAGATCTAAATATAGTGAAGAAAGGAATGAATGGGGGACAGTTATGTTTTGTTATGAAGCTCTCAATGCTTTTTTAAACTGGTTAGAGGATTTTCTTGATCACTGAACCGTTTCAAGCAAGCTTGACTCCTAAGTGGTCTGTGTGGTGCCCTCTGCTTTCATTTCATGTCCCGAGACTAGGATGGCTCCCATTTGTAGCTCAGCTGTAGCCGGTGCGGAGTCTTACTGCATCGATGCCAGACAGCTGCATGCCAATGTTGATGACGACGATGGAGACGACCTGCCAGCGCACAGAGGTGTCCAGAATAAGGTGCCACACTGACACAGTGTTCACTGTGGAGAGAGAGCGCTGCTCCTCCTGCATCTCCTCAATTTCTGCCTGGATGTTACACTTGGCACGATACCATTTCAGGGCTGCAGGGGGCAACAGGCACCAAAGTGAAAACTAAGCACCAGTCCGGATGTCATGACAATCGAATAATATCCCAACCAAAAAACAAACAGAACTACTAAGCTAGGGGAAAAAAGCCAAGCATATTCTGTATTAACACTAGCTATTCTTCTTATTTATATATAGGGGATATAGCTCAGTGGTAGATCATTTGACTGCAGATCAAGTGGTCACCTGTATCCTGATTGTTTGGGTGCGCGCATAAATGGCTGACCCTGCTCTCTGATCCCAAGCTTCTCTCCCCCTGCCTGTGTGTCTCATGGAGAGCAAGCTGGGGTATGCGAAAAGACAAATTCCTAACGCAAGAAATTGTGTATGGCTAATAAAGTGATCTTCTTTTTATACCGTTCCTAGTAAAGGTGAACTCCAGCCCAGGTACAGTACAGCTTTTCTTGCCAGGTGTTTCCATTGTTCATCCATCACTGGAAAGTCATCAGAGAGTCACACACCCTGACAAGAGCTGTGGCAAACTAAAGCCCATACCAGAAGCATGAGGCACAAGATAGCATCGCACCCTGGATAGAGTACCAGTCTAGCACAGGACGCATGCATACACAAGCACACATGGATGATTTAAAGACAACAATTGTTTGTTGGGGGACAGGAGGAGGAAACCAAAGCACCTAGAAGAAACCCAGGCAAAAACCTCACAAGGAATCTGTGTGAATCTGGGTCTATAATCAAACCCAGGAGCCATGAGACAACAACACTAATCATACACTGCTATGCAGGAGTTTCAATTATATTCTTATAAGGCAGTTCAAGAAAAAGTATTGCATCTTTGTGGTAAGAGAACATTATTGTAGTTCACGTAGGTAGCTGCATCAGCATGCGTAGGCTGCAAAAGAACAAGTAATAGGTTTATTCCATGCTGAAAAGAGAAGAAAAGAAACAACGTTTTGGCTGTGGACTCTTCTTCTGGCTGTGGACCCAAAGAAAGCTCCATGGCTGAAACTTTGTATTTCTTTTCTTCTCTTTTCAAGCATGGAATAAACCATTACTTGAACATTACTGAAGACCAAAAGTGAAACATGTACTTATATTTAAATAAAAAAAAACAAAATAATTTCAGCATTTTGTTGTAATGCTGTTCAAATTACACAAAAGCAAAAATACAGTTAAATCTGACTGCAAAACAAAATCTGCCTCTTATGTCTAGTCACAAAAAGAAGTCCTGGAACACATCAGTGACAATACCAAAAGCAGAACACAAAACTTATTTTAAACAATATTGATGTAAAGCGTTTACAATTTCATCCCCATACTCATTTTAAATCTTAATTTGCTTATCAGCCAGAGAATGTGTTGCTCAATGGTTTTGCACAATGATTTATTACAAAGTCAATTAGGAGTCTCTTTCTGTTTTTTTTTTTTTTACTCCCAGGATTACTGCAAGCTTTTTCTAGCCATACTCCACAATGAATGATGAGGTTGACTGATTTTAAAGCCACTAGTAAAGCCTCTTTTCTGGAGACAGAATGGAATATTACCAATTAATTTACCATTATGACCTTGAAGAAGAAAGTCTAAAGCCAAGAGCATTTAAAAGTCAACAGAATATGGTGCATTGTGGAAATGGCTCAATGGGATTGAATACAAAAAAGGTTTAGTTTGGATGAAACAAAAATGTAAAACCTACCTAAGTCACAGTGTGACAATAATGCTACTTTTAATGTGATAATTAGCTATTAACCATTCAAAAAATAAGGGCATTTATGGAGTACATCTGCAATACGTTACTGTTATTGCTTAGTAAACATGTCCAGTGCACATCAGAACATCAGTAAGGTTTCATATGAGACTTAAGAGATATGAGACTCCACAGCCTCACTAGAAAAGCTTAAACAACAATTAGAACAGCAATTTTTTTATATTAAAGTATAGAAAGAGCTTACCATAAATCAGCCAATTGTCAAATGTTTACTGAAAATGTATCAATTAACGTTAAGTAAAGAAAACGTTCATAAGCCAAAAGGTATGAATACATTCTTCCCATTTTCCATGTAATTTGTGCTTTTGTGACCAGGCATTTCCTCACCAACTCTTTGCATCTTTTTATCTAGACATCAACAGATATCACAAAGTCCCAGAAAAGTAGCTGATGGCCTGTATTTTAAAATTTGATCAGGTGAATAAGTTCAAATATATTTATGAAATAACTGACGCCAGTATAAGAAAGGTTACAAACAAAAGGATGCAATTCAGCAGTTAGTACAGATAGCTAATTGATCCAAGGATCTCATCCAGCTGTTGCTTGGCATCAGCTTCAATAACACATCTGGGCAGCGAGTTCCATACTCCCACAGCCCTGGGCAAACTCCTGCTTCGAGAACTTCAGGCAAGGGGTGACTTATAAGGAGAGCAGAGTGGAGGAGCTGGGCCTGTATGCTGGACAGCTCTTACCTGTGATAGTGGCGTGGACATTGTGCTTCTCTATCAGCAGATATCGAGGACTTTCGGGGAACCAGGGCAGAAGTAACAGCTGAATGAAAGTGGGAGCTACCACAAGGGAGAGGAACAGGGGCCAGTGCTCTTCCTGCGAACATTCAGCACACAAACCTACTTCAGCCTCACAATACACGCACTCCAGACATGACATTTTGATGCTATTGCCTTCTAATGACGTAATGCCATTAATAGGTCACATTTCATAACACAAAACTGCAAATGTACACAACTGTATGCCAAATCTATTTTGTTTTTAATGTTGGCCTGTCTAAGTAAAAAAAGCCTAAAGCAAAATAATTGGGTAATAACAGTTTGCGAGGGAAAAAAAAACATTCTGTTCAGTGAAATCTAAAAGACAGGTTGTCCCTTGTTGGTCTTGGTTGGGCGACACTGAAGAGATATTTTAAACTTAATGTAAATTCCTTTTTTCAATTTTCTATGTATTACAAGACCAGTCCCCATGAAGTTCCATTAGCTTGAACATGAAACTGTTATGAATAGGTTTTCTATACCTCCACTTACAAACTCTCAGCATCTCCTGGAGAATCTTGAATTGTTTGTACAACCCCAACTTCCAGTTCTAACTACTCCTCGCTTAAGCCCTGTGCCTAACCGTTACCCAAACCATACCCTAAAACAAGCCTGAAATTTCCAACTACAGTCAAACTAAGATAATCACAGACACTTTTTCAGGGCACAAATCAGAAACGTCTTTAGATGACAATCATTTATATACTCTATACCTTTCCAAGCAGCTCATGGAGACCCAGGACCTGAGCCATGAAAACACCCACACAGATGAAGATGCTGGGCATGAGACCCAGGAAACCTCGCAGATTCTTTGGAGCAATCTCTCCCAGGTACATGGGTACCACACTCAGAGAAATCCCTGTAGGGAGGAGTGGATTCATCACATGTAACAGCGATACTTTCACAAGACTCAGTCTGGCTTGGAACACCTTTCAAAATCCTGCGATTTAACTATGCAGAAACTTAATAAATGAATTACTTCTATCACTTAAGCAAAGAGTTTGACTGCTTCTTTTCCTACACAGAATACAGATACCCAATTCAAAACAATTCTAAAACTTAAAAAAATTGTCTAACAAAGCATTTAAAAACTGAACGTGACCTTTTAATATACAGTACATACAGGCATTAAAACAGAGACAAATGAGTATTGGTGATTCCTATCTTTACATACAGTAGCTGTAAATAATGCATACTAAAGGAGTGTATCTTAGTATAATTTTTTTCCTGACCTACAAGACCAAGCAAGACAAGTCTGCTTTATATTTACAACAGGGCTTCAGATAGTGATACTTTCATGAAGACTTTACCACAGTTTTTGACATTCACTAAACCAGTTAAATAATAATTTAAATTGACTTTTCAAAGATATAGGTAAGTTCCGCATAACAAAACTTACTGCAGAGATTATTCAAGCACTTCTGAACTGTTTGAAGAGTGAGGCCCACAAGTACCTGAATGTATCCCAGTAATGAAACGTCCAATAATAACCATTTCCGGAGAGCCACAGATCCGACTGAAGCCCATCAGAGCCCCTGAAATGAACACTAGTGTTGTGGATTTCACTAGTGTCCCTTTCCTGCCGAAAGACAACAGACTCTGTGAGAGGTATAAGTGTTCTTAACATCATGTACTGTCAGCTAACTGCAAAGTTCTCATCAGGTACAATTAAGGGCATTGAGGAGTTGTTCATGAAGAAAATCAATGGATCTGGACTGTTAGAGTAAAACCCTGAGTGGATCATTCCATGGGATCCGGACTGGGAGAGAAAAAATCCAGAGCAGATCATTTCATGGGAAATCTAGTGGAAATCTGATCAAGTCCGGTTTTACTCTAGCAGTCCGGATCCAGTTGAAGTCTAATCCAGTCCGGGTTTTAATCTAACAGTCTGGATCCAATGAAATTATGATCCAGTCTGGGTTTTACTCAAGCAGTCCAGATCCAGTCCAGGTTTTACTCAAGCAGTCCGGCTCCCCTGAAAATATGATCCATTCCGGGTTTTACTCTAACAGTCCAGATCCACTGAAAAAACTGATCCAGTCTGGAAGTCTGATCCAGTCCGGGTTTCACTCTAACAGTCCGGCTCCATTGACAATATGATCCAGTCCGGGTTTTACTATAGCAGTCCAGATCCACTGAAAAACTGATCCAGTCTGGGTTTTTCCTCTAACAGTCTGGATCCTACAGAATGGTACTGATGGTAGCTTACCTTCCAAACTTCGTAACCAGCACGCCCACTAGCAAGGAGCCCAGCAGGCCCCCAATGGCAAACACTGACACCGTCAGAGAATACATCAGCGTCAGGGACTCCTCACTCAGGCCGCTGCCATTACGATTCACAACGGAGCGGTTGTAAAAGTCTTTAATGTACTAAAAAGAAAAGCAGATTCATTTAAAGTAACAACGATACCAGCAGACGGATATAGGGTTCTCCTAATGTAGGCTTGCATAGTCCAACAGCTGCATGATCATGTGCAGGGAATTGGATACATCCAGATATTGAACCTCAGGAAACATAGGACATGTAACAGCTCATATGCACTTCTGCATGATGACATCAGGGGCACCAATGATCCTGGCATTGGTGGTGTAAATAATTATCTATGTTAACTGATGCATGTGTGTCACATTTTACAGCTTAATGGTATAGTTTCATGATAGAGATGTTCTCATAGGCCAATTATTTTAGAACACTCTATATATAACAGATAGGTAAAACAGAAAAAAAAATAGACAAGGTTTCTATTCTGTTGGAATAGGAGCTGTCTTCATTCTGGAAACTTCATTACAGAAGCTAAAATAGATACTTAAGGATGTGTGAGAACTCAGGTGGTTTGCTTGGGGCTTTGTAATTATTCCAAAATTAGAGAATGGACATTATGCTGTACAATAATTTTTCAACACATCAGAGAAACTAGTTTTGACTTTAATAGGAAATCCCCCAAATCCTATTTTTTTTAAATGTCAGAAATGGATGCATTATCAAGATGTGTTATTTTTAGTGCAGACATGCCAGCTCACTTTTGAAGGCTGTGTGTAAATGATCGGTACAAAAATCAATTCATTGTTGAACACAAATGTAATAAGCTGGTCTCAAAACAATGGCAATCTGAGACAGAATTCAATGTGCTAACTGCATAATTTCTGTTCTATATCAATGCTCTGGGAATACCTTAATAGTACTAATTTGTCCAGCACATTAGAAAAAAAGAGATACTGAGGATGTTTAGACAGAATGCAGAGGCTATGACTTGCCTCATTAAAGGATATCTGAAATTTCAGCCACTGGGGCAAGATTGCACAAATCAACATGTAATATTTCTCACATTTACACACTTGTTTAGTGGTACAGATCTGACATTTCTTCCATAAACCCAGGCTTAAATCAAAATTATCTACAGTATCCCATAAGAATCACACATGCTGATTTAATCAGGCAAGGGAAGCTTTCAACATTTCACCAAATTTTCACCATCACCAGCAATTCAATCTTCAGAAATATTGCCTATTCTCATTGCAGTCTTCTTTTCCACATAAACTGTCTAAATCATTAGATTAAGTAGTTGGATCCAAGCACAAAGGAGTTCTTCTTAATTTACAGAAATACCAGAATCAGAGCCAACTGAAAGACAGAGTCCTGTGCATGTGACCCCAGTCTCTCTATCCCAGACTATTCCAGGACACAAAGTAATGAAATCCCAGTGCTGTGTCTTTTTTATACATCATCTTACTCTAGTTAATGAATCAACACAGTGTTGGGAAAATGTAACACAGCACACTTCATTCACCAAGGGTTTCAGTGTTTTAGCTGAAAAACTAAAGAACTACACAACATTCATTTTATTTGATTAGGTCAATTTTATGATGGACTGTGGGGCTCTTCTTGGTCTGATGATCAGTAATTCTATCGGAAAAACATTAACAGACTTTTTAAAGTGTGGACACAATGTTCTTTCACACAATACTCGAAAACCCACAGAGAGGAGCTCCACAAAAAAGGTCTTAAAGATATGTTTGTGGAGGGAGGGATAATTAATGTTGAAAATACTTTATAGAGATCAGGTCTGCTATAATTCATGCCTCACAGGATTGTAGCAGTCAGTCTGAATTAGCCCACTCCAAATAGGTGGACAGAAAAAGTGGAAAAATTTAAGAAATGTCTAAAACAATTCCTAAAAAGAAGTTACAGACATGAAAACAACACGTTTTTCTTATATATTTCTATAAAATTCCACAAATTAAGAGTGGACTGAAATTAGCAGTGACCTCAATGTGCTGCATTCTGTACATCATCCTTCTCCAATTAAAAGGATCAAGGATGTCTGACTAGATTACGTTGTTAGGCACTTCTTTTTAAGTGTTGCTCAGAATTTGATTCTTCCTTCTTCTTTGGAAAAAGAAAAAAAATCCAGGCTAATACTTCAGACGTTACACTAAAACCCTACTTTAGTCAGTTGTTTTTATTTGGTTCCTCAACATTTTGCACATTGACAATTCTACTGTCGAAACTAGGAAAAAGGGCTTCCTATGAAGAAATTAGCTTTGCCAGAAGATCAATTTTAGTGGTTGATATCATTACTCACCTCTGCTGGCGAGTTGACCACAGCCAGGTTATAGCCATAGAGCATGGAAGAGCCGAAGGAAGAAAGAAAAGCTACAGCAAGTAGCGATGAGGTGAGGTGCTGGAAATAAAGAACATTTCTGCTCATTCTGTCACTTTTAATGGGGTTTGAAGAAAAAAAAATAAGTAGAGGAAAAAAACTAAGCGGAGAAAATGTCAGAACCCAGAATTTGATGTATTTGTTGAATTTACAAGGGATTTTTTTCAGATGTTAAGTGTACCATACTCTAATTATGTATTACTACAAAGTAATGGCATCATCAGTAAACAGAACAACAAATGGCCTGTGTCAGAGAACTTGGAGGTTCTTTAAACAAGATTTTCTTTTAGAAATTGAGAAGCTCATTTATCTGTATTTTGGTAAATAATTCCCCATTTCTACCCCTCTTCAGAAAGCTTATACTTCAAGAATGAAACTTTTGTACATTAGCCAACAAGAAGCAAACACTAAAAAACAACAACATCCAAAACAGTTACCTTACCTCTCCAAATATTTTCATTGCTTTTAAAAATAAGAGGAAAAGCATGTATTCCTTCTCGGCTTTAATGATCCATATTAGTTGTGTTAAGCACTATGCAGTGTCACAAACACACAATGTGTTCTCCCGTAGTCAGTCCTTAAGGAAGCTTTGACCAGAGCTCTGTAAAAAAAGTCTAGGTCGTGCAGGCTCTTATTATGTTCTGAGTTAATAAGACTGTTCATTGGCTGTTCCTAGAGTACATAATGGTTTTTTTTCTCCCAGGAGAAGCTTTTCTTATAATTTGTTAAACTATTTTGTGACAAAATATTAAATGAAAAGCATTAAGGCACACAACATTTCCACCTGAATTCTTTCTTTGCATGAGGAAAAAAAAAACATACAGGAATATAAAGCCAAATTTCACAAACATATTTAGCGCCACTTAATGAAGTTATTTTCTTAAATTAATCTTCGCGAGGAATCTCTTACTCCTCCAAAATATTATTAGGAATCTAAAACTAATGTAGGTGACCTTTTCAAGGTTCTAGGATAAATTATGTCACCTATTTTTAATCATTGACTTATTGAAGGCAGGTATTCTAATTTGCAGTATAAATACATGTGGTTCTAGCAAACGTTCACTACCCAATCATAATTAGTCAACAGGTTAGATAAACATCCAGTTTTTTTAATGGTACATCTTCCACTGAAAATCATCTTTAAAGTTTCATACAAAACACTATTGATGCATAACCCTGTCAATCCGAACAGTGTTCTAAGGTCCTCTCACTTAGGAGGCAGTTTTTTAAATACCACAAAGGAAAACATTGTATGTGAGAGAATATACCCAGTAAAGGACACTGGACATTATTGTTTATTCACATAAACAAGAATAAAAGAAACAAGCTGCAAACAACCACCAGAGAGGGAAAAAAAAACAATTATATATGGGAACAATATTTTTTGGAAGAAAACAGCAAACTGCATTTCCAGTATCAACCATGGCCTGTGATAAAAATAAAACAAATCAAGACTACCGACCAAGACATAAAAGGTGAAACGATCAGCAGATCTTGTCCTTTTAATTTTACAGACACCGTGGTCATTGAAAATCTACAATGTACAGCTCTGTCATCTTCCCTTGATAAGAGTCTGCAGGAGAAGACAGGATTGAACTGGGTATTGATATAAGTGGCCTCACTGACTCTCTGTTCCCTTTGGTTCAGAGATCGTCTGAAGATGGAAAAGAATGTAAAAAGGCTTTTCTCACCTATTTTAAAAGATGAAATTAAACCAAATTCACAAGAGGTCTCTGCAGATATCCTGCTGTTTCAGAGTTTATACATGGTACCAATGCATAAAAAAGAAAGTGGAAATGCTGGTTTATAAAATGTGTAATACTGTAAATAAACTGACTAAATTGTGAGCTTTGGCTGTGCTCCTCTTTTAATTATATAATATGGATTTCCACAAAAAAACAACAACATTCATTTGGCAACAGAAAATACAGATTTCTTTCCCAAACAGTCTTTCAAATTCTCTTCCATTTTTTATATCTGTGGATTTCTGAAAAAACACCCGAACCTGATAAAAAAAAATGAGGGATGAAATGCTAAATGCTATTCAAAAATAAACTCCAAAAAATTGCAAAAAAATAAATTTACAACAAAGATGTCAGTTGCATGTTGCTTAAACAGAAATATCTCACACAGGATTTGAAAGGTTTAAAAGAAACACCAAAACTGCTCAGGCTTTCCTAGAATAAAATGAGCCACTTCACTGAAGATAAGGAACAAGTGTTACAAACAAGACTTTAATAATATGGTTTTCTACCTTTTAAGTTGAACTTGTTACTTCTGACATTTTGCTGGTTACAAAGAATGCACAAATTAACAGTTAGCCCTAAGCCGTATTTCATCTGTTTTGACAGAAGTTTACCAACAGGTTTTGCAAGAGTGTTCCAGAAAAGCTTATTGCTTAGCTCCCAGAAAAATTACATTTAATCAAGAAGTGGTTTTAAGAGGAATTCTGAATGCTATGCCCCAGTAGTGCTATTAAGTCACTTTGTATGTAACTTTACTATTTTAAATTTCTTGATTTACATAACATGGCATTAGTTACACACCACATACACAAACCAGCAGACACTATCTGGAATCTTTACTTACATCATGCATACATTCATTAGGAAGGCTGGTACAAATCACCAGAGTTGAAGCACTGTGCAAATGATAATCCCACAATCTCTTGGCATACTCATTTTAATCTGGAGATTTTTTAGACATAATATCAGTGCCCAACATAGTGAACCAAGAAAATAAAGAACAGGCCTAAAATTCAAGACATTCTAACTCTGCAACCTCTTAGGGCAAGATGATATTGCATAAAGCTCAAGTATTAAAAGCACTAAAACGGTAAGCAGACATTCTTTCTCCTAAACTCTTAAAAGCACCATTGCAATGTTAATGATGCTGCTAAAATGAAGGAAACCAAGCAGCTAATCTTTATTACCACACAAAACTTTTATTTTCCATTATTTTATGACTGTAAAGAGTGCAGTTAAGACAGTATGGGTAAACCAAAAGGACTGTTTCACTTCAACAAACCACTTATACTGTAGTGTTGCAGTGGGAGCAGATCCATCTGGACATTAGAAAGAGCACTCTGGTACCATAATATTTCAGATCAAACTAGTGCCCAGAGTGAAATGTTACCGCAATTCCTCAATCACATATTTAGCCAACGTAATCATTATGTGAGGTCCAATTAGAACCAACCGTATTGAAATTCAAAAAAGGAACAAAAAGCACTTCGCAGGTGAAAAAGCCATAAAAAAGCCTTTTTAGGGGGCATGCAATCTTCACAAATCACAGTATTTCCACCACAGGTTTTCATTACACAGATATTACATAGGATCTGTTCTTGACAGCAACTGTCAGCTCTACCCTACTTCTTTCAAAGCAGGCTGCTCTAGCAGGTGTTCAGAGCCAGCTCTGTCAAGGTCAGCTGCTGAACCTACAGAACCTAACTGGGCACTAAACTGCCCTAAACATACAGATGCCTTCAAAGTCAAGATACAAATGAATAACTTGAGCCATAAACGGTCTATTTTGGCAAGAAACTGGGATTTCAGTTGTTTTACAGTTTAGCATTTCCTGTCCTTTAGACTGGACTGATAAAAAATGGTTGTCTGGCTTGCTACATTTTAACAACTTTGTCACTGAAATTGTTTTAAAGACTCATGTAATAGCAAAAAAAGCATAGGAATGGTTCCAGATTAATGGAGATTTTATTCTTAAACAAACTGTCAAGGATCTACATTTCAAGACAATGCATTCCACTTCTGACAGGCTCCTTACATGACTTCCTACGAAGCATGAATAGCACAATTCTGTGAGCTGTCCCTGAACTACTGTTATAACACATACTCCTTAATTTTCTAGCTTTTATTTTATTGGAATACTGCAGCATGCAAATAAAATATTGCTCAAAATGTCCTCAAAATGGCACATCATCTTAAAAACTTGTCTTCAACTCTGAGAACAAAGTTAATGATTGTTTTGCATGTGATCATTCCATCTGAAAGAAAAAAACCCAAATCGAAACGATGCATTTTTCTAAGGCTTGTAAAGAAAAAAAATCGTACAAAGCATGTACTGAAAACTTAATTTACTCTGTAAATGGTTAGATATGGTTACTTACACAGGCACATGTGAGGCCAGACATTAAAACAATGTTGCCTTGTGACAAGCAGTCAATCTTAACTGTGCCACTAGAGAAAGCATTCTTCACGAGTTCACCAGTGGTCACTGATAAACTCTCTCCAGAACAACTTAATCTGATTAAATACCGATTGTAAAGACAGAGCAAGAAGTGTTCCCTTTACATACTTTTGTGATTCACGTCAAATAATGCAAAATGATTAATCATTCCCATTGCTGCAACTCAGATGTAGAAGTACAGTAAGCTACTGTACTTCATTAAGAAGCAGTGGCAAGAACTGGAAATAAAATGGGTTTAGTACCTTCAAGAGCAAGTAGGCCATGTTTTTTGGCAGTAAAAAAGGTAATAATAATAATTTCTTACACTTTCATAGCACTTTTCTGGACACTCCACTCAAAGCACTTTACAGGTAATGGGTCTCCCCTCCACCACCACCAATGTGGAGCCCCACCTGGATGATGCACCAGAACCACACATCAGCTATTAGTGGGGAGAAGAATAGAGTAAAGAAGCCAATTCATAGACGGGAATTGTTAGGAGGCCACGATTGATAAAGGCCAATGAGAAATCTGGCCAGGACACTGGCCGAACTCTTTTTGAAAAATACCCTGGGATTTTTAATAACCAGAGAGTCAGGGCCTCAGTTTTATGTCTCACCCAAAGAACCACACCTTTTTAAAGTATAGTGTCCCCATCACTATCTGGGGCATTAGGACCCACACAGACCCCAGAGTGAGTGCTCCCTACTGGTCCCACTATCACCACGTCCTGCAGCAACCTTAGCTTTCCCAGGAGGTCTCTCATCCAGGTACTAACCAGGCTCACACCTGCTGAGCGTCAATGGGCTGCCAGTTGTGAGTTACATGGTGATGCATTTGTTTGTTGCTACAGTGTATCACCCACTCATGTCCATAGTGATTGACTGAAGTGCAGAAGTCTGCTGGGTGAGGCACAGCAGCTCCACTGCACAGCAGGTGAGCCAGAGACCTGAGAAGTTATCTCATCAATTGAAGTTGGAACTTTAGGTATATGTAAGATTGCTTAAGATCAAAATGGAATTTAGGCAGTGCACAGGTGCAAACATTGTTAAGGACAGCAATGGGATCTTTTAATGACCAAAGCCCTCAGTTTAATGTCTCATCTGAAGGATGGCATCTCTTTATAACACAGTGCCCCTTGTCATTGTTGTATTGGTTGGGATATTCTAGTCCAGAGAAAGAAACAGTGTTGCTTACTGCATCACCAACACCACTCACAGTAGCAACCTGTTTTTCTTTGAGGTCTCCCAGGAATGACCAAGCCTTGCCTTGCTTAGCTTCTGAGTTCTCATGAGACAAGGAGAAAACTGCTGTTAGGAACACGATGTCTTGCAACAAGATGTTTAAGATGACAAGGCAGTGCTGAAAGGCTGGAAGACTGGAAGCCTAAATGAAATCAAGCAAATACCAAAATTGGTGTTTGGTACATACTTACATTAGTGTAGTATTAATAACACCAATATTAATAAAACACTGAAGGTCCTGGAGATCCATCTTTAAAGTTTCAAAATATATGTAACATCAGGACCTACAATGTAGAGGATTTAACTCTCGATTTTCTAACAGTAATTATTTGAGATATAATCTACACCCCTGGTGTTACAGGACCAGTTTGCCAGCGGGTTTCTACTCCAACTAGACTCTAAAATAGCTAGTTCCTGGCTTGATCGGACCAGCTGAACAGCTTCTCCAAACTTTCCAGGTGTTGTCATTTTAAGGAGACCAAACTAACCTGCAGATACACCAGCCCGAGTTGGACATTCCGCCTCAATTAACTAAATTAACTCAAAGCATTGGAAGGATACTGTTAAATTCCTGGCTGAACACGCGGTCAAACCAGTCCAATTTTGTGAGCCAGAATCAAATAGTATTAATCCGAATATAAAACGTAATATATGCCTATATATAAAACCCCCAAATTCGACATATATTGTATTTAACAATATTTCGACAAATACAAAGTAAATCCTACCTAAACATAAAACTGTCTTGATTAGAAAAGACTTTAAGAAGTGCGCGACAAAAGGAAACCCCTCGTGTAAATTATTACGAAACCAAGGAATCTGTAAATTTGTATATACCCAACTGGATGTCAAACCAGGGACTATCGACAGGCAAGCCTTTGCAACAGTAGTTGTGGCATATGTATTATCCATACATACACGTTTCCATCAAAGTCAGAACAATTAAAAAAAACACGTTAGCAAATGGTCAAGCTAGTAAAGTTATATTTAGCTAATTATACCATTATTATACAGGTGGTGTAAACAAAACGCCAAACTGAATAACAAAAATGTTTGCCGATTTCAGTCGAGGAAACTTCTAGCAACATCGCTAAGACATTAACAGAAATTATTATGTTTTGCAGATGTGAAGGTATTTTTGTTACTATTCACGCATTCTTACAGCTGGATAATTAATTTTATTAGAGTTATAAAAGCTTCTGATATCATTTACTTAAAAAGACTGCAAAAAAAGAGGTACCCCGCAGTTATGAAAGCATTTAATTGCTATTTGTACCGCGCCACTCAGGTAGACGTTTTGAGACATGACGAGAGAGAATCGAGTAATTAAGCCTGCTTTGAGTAATAACCTTAACTTACCCCTGTAAGTTTTCCATGCGAAAATATTAACAGTTCTTCTGCCATCTAAAATTCTGTCATTAAACAGAGATCACCGAACTGGATGCAAAGCAGTAGTGAACGGTAGCTGGAAAAGTGGACAGTTCTCCCAACAAAACTTTAATGCAATTAAAGGATTCTTGCAATGAGGGGCGTTATGTCGTTGGATTGACAGACATTAAGAAAGAATTGCTAGCAGAAATAGTTTCAAACCAATCCGCTGTGTCTCCCGCTGAGTACAGTCCCTTCCCAGTAGCTCGTTTGTTCAAATTCGCAGTCCGTTCCGATTAACAAGTTGAAAGTAGACGGGAATCACATGATGGAAGGCAATGTGATTTTTTTTGGAGAGGGCTAAAATCAATTACCTAAAAATACAAAGCTTTATCCCATTCAGACAGAGGATGTGGAATTAGCAGCAGAGAGATAGTTCATAGGTCAATTCTAAATGACTCCTTTTTTTTCACAAATCCTGACAAACTTTTAACTCTTTTATTAAAAATAGGTGGATAAATACTTTTACAGTTTACCTCTAGATAATCTAGACACATTATAGTATAAATTTATATTATAAACTAGTTCAAATACCTTAAAACTTCTATATAGCTCATATTGTATATACATTCCTACAATGGATTATCCATGTAATCTGAAAATGGGTGCGCAGCGATCGCCTGAATCACAATGTTTTCACAACGGACTAGTCTAATGTTAGATTGCTTCCCTAGTGAACTGTCCATCAACTCACTAAATGGATGAGATCCTCAGGTCACCATGATCCAAGAAACCAAACTAAATAAGCCAAGTGGACTCCTATTGTTGGCAACCTTCACCTCTTGTAGGTCAAGGGGCTGCAATATTATGTAGCTGTAAAAATAAACTTTGAAATTATATAATTCTTTTATCCAAACCACACACTTAACCCCAAAAGTAAATAATTTAGACCTTATAAAATATCAAAAACATAATGCTTAAGTGCTCAATTTATGATCTTTCCCTGATAAAATGTTACATAAACAAACATCAAAAGAAACTGCATTCAAGTTCTTGTATAAAAAATGTGTATAGATTTTTGATTTTATGTTTTTAACATTATAATAATTAACCATTCAAGACTCACCATGATGCCCTAGTGATTTTGGCTGTTACCTAAGAACTGAATCACTTCATTAATGAAAGGGGTGATTGGGCACAGGTGATGAGGTGATGTAACCTCTTGAATGTCAAGCCTGGTGAAAATAAAGAAACCTACCATGCCTTCTATAACAAATAGGACAGTGAAGTCCAAAGTTGCTACTTTTGCTGTATACTACTTGGATTTCAAATGAAAAGATTAATATGTGGCAAAAGAACAGAATGTCAGCTTTTATTTCTGTGTTTATCTGATGTACCATTTTATTATAATAGCACTTTGTGGTGTTCAATCTCCCCATTTCAGGTGAGCATTAGTATTGGGACACCTGGCTGCCAGCTGTTTCTTATTAGGTAGGTGTTTCCTGTTGCATGTTTACATAAGCGTAAAAGAGCTCTGAATGGGTAGCGTTAGATTTAGCCCTTTTCTCTTCCCTTTGGTGTCTACCTTTGGAGTCTGCAGACTTAAATCAACATGAAGACTGAAGAACTGTTTGAAGAAGAACAGAAAGCAATTTGGATCCTGAGAGAAAATAATTCAATCAGAACCATAGCACAAAAACAGGGCATGGCAAAACCAACAAATGGAATATCTTGAAAAAGAAAGAAAGAAACCACTGGTGTCCCTAGCAATCAGCAACCAATGTGGCCAAGGAAAACTACTGCAGCTCACGACAGAAAAACGATCTCTTAAAAAAAAAACTCTTAAAACTGTCGCTGAAATCATTAACTACCTTCATAGTGCTGGATGAATTGATCACAATCCACTGTTCAAAGTAGATTTCAACAGCAGAATTACAAAGGCTGCGCTGCAAGATTCAACCCTTTCATCGGCACCGAAAATAGAAAGGCCAGTTTAAAATGGTCTATAAAGAACTCAGACGAGCCAGCGGAGTTCTGGAATCAGCGCTATGGACAGAGGAGATCAAGTTAATCCGCCATCAAAGTGCTGGCAAGGTTAAAGTGTGGAGAAAGGAACTGCACACCATCCAAAGCTTATCATATGTGAAACATGGTGGAGGAAGTGTCACGGCTTGGGCATATATGGCTGCCTCTGGAACTGACTCATCTTTTCTGATGTAATTAATGACTGTAGCAGCAGAAGGACTTCAGAAGTCTACAGAAACATCTTGTCTTCCTGCATACAAGAAAATGCCTCCAGACCCATTGGCCAATACTTTTGCCTTATTCATCTTTTCATGTCAAGTCTGATTTGCTTGAGTATATAGCAAAAACAGCAATTTTGTCTTCACTGGCCAATGCTTTTGGAGAGCAGTGTATGTCCTGCTCATCAAGAGAATATTGTGCCATCAGTTTGCTGGAACCTGGACTAAATCACTGCTCTATAACTTACTGTCTATGGTGGTCACAACCAGCAATTTTTAACCTGGCAAAACATTAAGCTCGAAGTCTGAATTGTAAACTAAAATAGGGGAGAACATGAATCACGTCACCTCATAGCAGATCATTGTGAGGCATAAGGACAGCAGTCAGACCATCTGAGTTAAGATGCTGAAATCCACTGCACTGATTGATGGTAACCTGAACACATGGTACTACATTAAGTCCTGGGACCTCACTTACTGCCTTGCTGTGTGTTTATTCTGGTGTGACAAAATTCCAGAAAGACAATATACTGTATGTTGCATGTAGATTGTGTAACAATGGTTATGTGAACCTTGAGCCCTATTGAACATTTTTCAGATGGATTGGAATGATAAATGCCATTCAGGGCACAGAGACCACTGAATGGTACATATTTGTAAGGGCTTTATGAGAGGAATTGGTCTTTCCCAAAAGAGCATTTGCAAACTGGTGCAATGCATGCATCACAGGTGTACAGTTTTCAAATAAGAATACAAAGGATTCTAGGCTGTGACTTTCAACAAAGTACCCAAAAAGCCATGTTTACAAATGTTAATAGGCAGAATTCAGTGTCAGTTCAATAAAATGCCAGTGCACCTGCTACAAAGAGTCTTTTTGATAACTGCACTGCAATTGTAAGTTATTTCTATTGATGCTTAGTAGATGCATCCTACTGCAGTAGCAGAGACCAGCTGGCACGATCAGATTTATTTTCTACACCCACCGCTGGATAATGGGGCTAAAGTCAGTATCTTATTAATTTAATAATTGGGCCAATACATTACCACATTTCATGTTATGTTACATTTACAGTTGTGAGAAAGTTTGTGAACCCTTTGGAATTATCTGAATTTTTGCATGAATGGCTCCTAAAATGTGACCTGATCTTCATTTAAGTCATGATAATAAATAAAGACTTATTTAAGTCTTATTTAACAAACAACACACACAAGATTTTACATTGCCATATCTTTATTGAACAAGTGGTTTAAACAATCAAGGTCATTGATAGAAAATTATGTGAACCCTTATATTTAGTAACTAGTGGAACCTCCTTTATTGGCAATAAGCTCAACAAAATGCTTTATGTAGCTGCTGATCAGACCTGCACAGCGGCTAGGCGGTATTTTGGCCCATTCCTCTATACAGAACTGTTTCTGTTTATGTATACTGTTGGGATGTCTTGCTTGAACGGCCTGCTTCAGTTCACACCTCAGCATTTTAACGGGATTAAGGTCAGGACTCTGACTTGGCCATTCTAATTTCTTATTTGAGCCACTCTGTTGTTGATTTACTCCTGTGTTTTGGATCATTGTCATGTTGCATGACCCGTCTTTTGCATTTTAGATCACAGACAGACATCCTGACATACCGCTGCAGAATTTCCTGATGCAATGTGGAATTCATTGGTCCCTCAATGATTGCATGCTGTCCAGGCTCTGTGGTAGGAAAGCAGCCCCACACCATTATGCTCCATCCACCATCCTTCACAGCTTGGATGAGGTTTTGATGTTGGTATGCAGTGTTTTGTTTTCTCTAAACATAACACTGTCTACATTTACCAAAAAGGTCAACTTTTGTCTCATCTGTCCACAGAACATTGTTCCAATAGTGCCATGGAACATCCAGGTGGTTTTGTGCAAACTTGAGATGGACAGCAATGTTTTTTTTGGAGAGCAGTACTTTCCTCCATGGTAATCTCCCATTAATACCACTCTTGTTCAGGGTTTTTCTTATGGTAGACTCATGAACACAGACATTATCAAGTGCAAGAGATGCCTGCACATCCTTAGCTGTCACCCTAGGGTTCTTTGTTATCTGGCGTGGCCTTGCACTGATCTTTGTAGAACGCCCACTCCTAGGAGAATAGCAACAGTGCTGAATTTCTTCCATTTGTAAACTGTCTTACTGTACTGATGGAGACCCAGGTGTTTAAAACTTTTGTAACCCTTTCCAGTCTTACAAGCTTCAACAACTCTTCTTCTGAGGTACTCTGAAATCTCTTATAATGCCATATTGCACTTCAACAGAATTCTGTTGTGAAGAGCTGATTTTTTTATACAGCAGGGCAGGTCAAACCCACACCTGAATTGATTGGAACACCTGACTCCAATTACCCTCTTTTCAAGATGTCATTTTCCTAGAGGTTGACATACTTTTTCCAACAATGACCTTGATTGTTTAAACTATTTGTTTAACAAAGATATGACAATGTAGAATGTGTGTGTTTGTAAAATAAGACTGTCTTTGTTATGACTGAGATGAAGATCAGATCACGTTTTTAGGAGCCATTCATGCAGAAATCCAGATAATTACAAAAGGTTCACAAACTGTTGAATGTGAAGCCATCAATGTGACAAAATCATTGGTTAAGTATTTGAGATATACTGGTTTCGGATTCTTAATGCAATATGTATAAATATACGGATATATGTAAACACATTCTGCAGCAATCTGTTTTTAAAGTGGACAGTAGATATCATTGGATTTATTTAATTATGCTGTGAAGTATTCAGATCAAAGATGCTACTGGTTCCAATGTTCATATTTGAATTCCTAATGCCTCAATAAATAAAAGGCTGCATTTTAATTTTTACATAGGAGCTTTTATTGGAAATTTGAATTGGTCTACAGTAGCAATTGCCCTTCTTCCAGTAACTACTTACACATAGCACAGATGTACTGTTTTCAAAAGTAAAGGCTGCCTTAGGGATATTATAGCTTGTACCCAATAGCAGCAATCTCTCCCTGTTAGTTTATCTCAGAACACTTTGAGGTATATGCAAAAGGAAATTTAAAGGGTGAGGATGCTGCACTGTTTATATTTGATAGACACATAGACAGTGTACGTTTATACAGACTATGCTTTGAAACTATTCTATAAAGAACAAGCAGCCAAAAGAGTAAGGTACTACACGCCCTAAACAGCCCTTAAAACACTAAGTCTGGTAAGATTAAACTTTCTAAATTGAATATTTTGGGATTTTTATTAGTTGTTGATCTAGAATTTTGTTTCTACATTTTTCTTTGTAAATTTATATTTTAATTTCAACATTTTAGAAAAATGGCTTTAAAGATTTCATATACCATTTCTCTCAAACAAAGAAACAAGGCATTGAGTAGCAATCTAGATATGTATAACATACTCCAAAGGAATCACAAAATCCAAGCTGTAACAGGTACATTTCCAACCCACTTCCATTGAACTGTGCTAAAGCCCGCACTAAAAGTGCATCAGCACTGTATGTAACACTCAAGGTACTGGGTTTATTGAAATACTGCAATGGTGTCTTTTGCAGGGCTACATGGTACTTAGCCCTACATATTTGTTATACAAAGCAAATTACAGGCAAAAAGTACAATGGAAATGCCAAATGTTTTAAAACATTGATACATTCCACAGAAATGCAAAAAGAAAGTACACCTCATCTGATAATGTGCTTTCAGTGAGCATCTAGGTCACCTGTTATTGTGTTCATTTTACTGCAAAATTATAAAAGTAAATATTTGTAATAAGCAGATCTTACTCTTTACTTGTAACAGTAGTTACAATTAGTATCATCTTTCACAGAAGGACACAGCACTGGGATTGCTTTATGTCACTTACCATCACTTACCGTTGGGAACTCTTCCCAACATCACAGTAGTTTTTCCATTAGTCACTCAAACCATAACTTTAAATTTTCTTGCATTTCAGCTTGTGCCACCAAGTTGAAATTAAAGTCTACACTTTATGAAGACAAATTCATTGACAGTATCTTATAAGTGCCATTGCTGTATTTCATGTTGACAACAGAAATGTATTAAATTGATTTGGACCTTTCAATTTGAAAATATTGTAAGAAGATACATACTGAGGTTCATGTTGAAACCTAAGTGTCACTATGGGCAGGTGTCTGATTAGAAAAGATAATTAAAGATGCATAACAAAGCATCTTCTAGGTATGGAACATAGCTAAGATCAAACACAGAGCAAAGACATCCTACTAATGCTGGTTGCTTTTTGACCTAAAAAAAAATAATTGGCATCGACAGTTAAGAAAAAAAGAAACAGGCTGCCAGTGACTGGTTTCATGCATGGAGCTTTCAAGTTGTCACAAATTGATCTTCTCACCATTGGCAAGGGGCAGACACCATCCTCCATACAGTAGGTCAAGCCACAGCTTAAAGAACACTTTCATACAGGTACTAAATCATGAGTCTGGTTTAACTCCACACCACAACATAATGTGTCTTTTTTGGTGTGAGGCTGTCTCTCCTAATCAGCTTATTACACAGGGTCATGCACTAGTTGGCACAAGTCCTTCCAAAGATTAATGACCAAGATTATATCAAAGCTCACTCTCTATAAATGTGAACCATAGTTGGCTCTGAAAGGGCAGTATACATTTTTACATTTCTGAAAATGGTAAACTTATGGGGAAAAATGATATTAAAAGGGTTAACATTTACAAAATATTTTAATAAATTACCTTAAGAACACCCCGCACCACCAAGTTTACTTTCATATTTGTATTGTAAGTTCATCTTTTTTGACAGTTAAAAAACACTAGATGAAGATCATCCTATCTTACATGAACATTTTAGTACATTAACTACACATCACTTTACCTTGAACAAAATGACAAAAATGGATATCACTTGTTTACTGGAGAATCTACAGAACAAATACAGGAATTGGAAATAAAATAAGAGAGAGTAACCTTAATAAAAATGTTGCAAAAAGTAGTAGTACAATTTATAAACCTCAATATCCTCTTTTTAGTGTCGATTTCAATCACGGGTTTTAAAAGAACTGTCAGGCTTAGCAATCTATAGCAAGACATTCTAAATGTGAATTTACTTAGGTCTCACCAATATCAACCTAAAAGTCATGTGATTGTGACTTTTCCCCATCAAACACAAACTAATATTTGTATTGCAAAATATTTTAAAAACACAAAAAAACAATGATACAAATATTAATAAAGTTAATAAAGTGGAACATGTAGATTTTGTAATAGATTAATTCAGTGATTCATCTTCACTTATTTCAGATCTCTATATTTGTGCTGCCGTGCACTTAATCACAATTGCATGGACTTGTTTCTCTATCTCATAACCAGTGTGATTTTAATTGTAGTTAGGGATGTTCCATTTTTTTTTAAAAGCTGAATAATTTAACAAATCCACTTGTCAAGTCAAACTAAACATGAATATCTTTATATATTTAGAAATTTGCAATTTATATTTTATATCCACCCAATTTAGTCTTCTGACCTCTTCAAAACACTGCAAGCTTGGAGGCACATGAAAAGAGTCAGTGTTTTGCTAAAAGCTGAGAAGATGCCAGGTGATGAATATCCACTCTTCCCCTCGTGGTGCTCTGAGTGTACACCAGAATGCAAAACATAATTCAAGCAGGGTCAGGAAGATAAAACTCGAAAATGAAAAATTAAAGATCAATTAAATGACCATTTGGAAAAAAAAGGGCAAAGATTACTCTCTCTTAAGACTAGTATAAATCTTTTCATCTTTACAAAGTCACTTAATGCAAGCAAAACTATATGCTGGGTACACCCTCACCCCCCAAAAAAAATTCCAGTTGCAATCATTAAATAATTGGGGGAAATAATTGCCAAGTTTCAATGTTTTCAAAAAACACTCTTAAACCATCCAAGTACAGTTTTAAAGCATGGTGAACATAATACAAGATTCACATGTCAGTTTGCTGCAGAAATAACATCTTTACAGTAAATACAGCACACACGTCTTATGCTCTGGTTTAAAGCATTTTGCACAGCATTTTACACATTACCATGGATTACATTTCAAGACAAGGTGAAGATTTTATACACTGCAGAAACTTTATACATTTTTTAAAATTATGGAAATAATTAACTCAATATACACCATCTATTAAAATAAAAGATTGTGAAATAGACTGCATACTGAATACTCAAGTATTTTGGAGGAGAGTTTCTAAAGACCGTGTGTGAGTTTTCATAAAGGTGCTTTCATTTGTATATGTGTGCTTAAATTCAGGTTGATTTTCAATCTTATTTTTATGATTGTTTTGTAATACAAGTTTCCTTTTTAACGGTCAAAACCCAAAATTTGAAGAGAAAGCTGGCATTGAGACTTGAGGTTTCTGATTTGGTGCGGTCGTGAGTGAGAATATTCTGCAGACTACATTTGCACTACAGCTTTCTCAGAACTCTGACAATTCTTAAGATACATTTCATAAAATTACAACTGATGAGAATTAAGCCTCTGATATTCTTCTTTTCAAAAATTAAAGTACCATTTTTATCAATTTTAAGCTCAGTTTAAGACCAAAGCCAGAGTGCAATACAACTTACTCTGGATTTTGAAGTTATTTTGGGCAACTGACAAACAAACAAAAAAGTTATACTGCAAGTACAGGTTGATAAGTTACCTTTAAAGGACATATAATATTAAAAATGGAAAAGCCATTGGTTTGTAACTCAAAATAGTAAATGTTCACATTTCCATGCAGCATGTGTTTTAAGTGATATTAATAGCTTCAGGTCACTTTCTAAAATAAATAAGTCCAACTATAGTTAGGCATGCCAGCGATCAACCACTCACAATTGTTCAGTTTGGCAACTTGACCACACAACACAAATAAATGTGACAGTTTTGCAGGAAAATAACCATTCAATGTAAAGTTGGAAAAAAAAATAAAATCTCTGCAGCAAAGTGATCTACACTTTTGAAGAGCCAGTCTTATCAGCCTGTGGATAAGGGCAGGAAAACAGAATGCTCTGTACCAGTAAAAACTGAAGAGAGGCTCTCTACACATTTTTCAGTTTCAGCTGTTTTACTGCAGTCCAGACCAGCAGACTAACAGAACTGCTGTGAAATATTTGACACAGGGGAGCAGAAAACACCTGATTCTAAATGAATGCTGGTGTGCAGACTTTATATTTGCGAGAACATATATATAGTGTACTAGGTCAGTGAAAAGAAAAAAGGAAACAAATAAGGTAGTAGTGTACGACAACATGCTTTTGTGCAACTGCATGTGTTGTGCGCTTCTATACTGACAGCCATCATAAAAATGAAAAGTGCAAAAAAGAATAATTTATTTTTCATTCCCCAGTGAGCCACATACTCGGTACTAAAGCTTGTGCAAAACAGCTTTGCAGTTTGTGTTTCTTCCGATTTTCTCAACTTGGTGAATCTCCAGTATCATCAGTCTAAAAAAGCACCTGAGTGCTGAACTGCTAAGAACTGTAGCATAAATAAGCAGTAGCTGCACAATACAGATTTACATATACTACAACAGAAAAGTTTGGTAGTATCTGTGGCATCCTCATTTGCTGTACTTTAAGACATTTATTCTAGACTCTTCTTTACAAAATAAAATATATATTTATATATATGGCAACAAAAATGTTGCTGATAAAGATCTGAGGAAATGAACTGAAAATATGGTTTTCAGAAACAACTTGACTAATTCTGTAACCTCACCCTTGAACCAAGTCTGAGTACGACAGGCTTCCCAGTTTAGAGAAAAGCAGCAACAACTCACCTCAACACATTTAAAATGACTTTTGTTTACAATATACTTGATGAAGGAAAGGGGGATAAAGGACTGATGATGCTCAAAACCATTAGTTTTGAAAGACATATTTCTCAGTAGCAGCACTTTTTGCCATCATCCACAATGTGTTTTTTCCCAAGACAAGCAGATTCCCTGTTTGTCATCTAGAGGGAAAGCCTATTCCTCAGTTAGACCACATTGAGTCACCAGCTTCTGGCTTTTCAATATTATGCAAATACTGTATCATCAGAAGTCCTAGAAAAAAAAGGAAAAAAGAATAAGCCAAAACACAAACTTCCTTCAGTTTTAATTTGTCAGATTAATTTTGTTTTCCGATTGGTCATGGTAAAGAAAATGCCCTGTTCAATTACAGCAGTATGTGCACGCACACTCACGAAACTATAGAGCGATAAGGAGATGGTTCAAACACATTTTACTTGTAAATACTGCAGACGTACATTCAGAGTGAAAAGGATAATTTTTATAATTTTGCCAAAGCCTGTGTAATGTTGACTAGCAGGACAATCTAAACAATTTTAGAACAACTAGGCAGTAAGTAAGGAGCCTAAAGCAGGGAAGCATATGAGTGGTTCAACACAGAAACATTTTTAGAGGAAGCAGTCTTGGGATCACATGCCTCAATGCGCTTCAGAAATTGCTAGCTTTTTTGATATGCAAGTAAATAAATCACATGCCTAAAGTGATCACTGCACAGAGGGGAAAAGTTCAGTGTTAAGAATGCCTGAAACACGAGGGCCTGAAAGTGTGAAACTGGAAATGTTAGTCTGAGGAATCTTAACTTTTCTAGATGATACAATTTGTTTGTGAAGGGGAAAAACAGGAGCAAAGGTGAGCTATAAGGAGGAGGTTTTCCCAGAGGCTAAGCTCTGACTGTTGTTGTTTCATCCAAGTATTATCTCAACAATTAAAAAGTGTATTTGCTGCAATTAAGTGAGAACACAGATTGCACCTCCTTTTATTCATTACTTCCTACATGCCCTAACCTCACATTTTTAATGGTGGGTTACTTAATATGAATTAATGTAACAAACACTTTGGTGTCTCTATACCACAAATGGTATAGAGATTTTTGCATTATAGGTGTTGCAGTGCCAGGGTATCATTTGTCTCACTCTACTCAAGATTGCTTATCCACTGTTTTGCCCAAAGTGTCGTTGCTTACCTGTGCAAGTGTGAGGTATGGATCAGCACTGATAGTTTATCTTGAGATGTAGGTGTATGTCCGGGAGGGGGAGCGTGAGGACTCTGCTTGTGTGGCCGGGTCATTCAAGAAATCCCAGATGAGGATAGTGTCATCGTGCGAGCTGCTGACGATCTGAAACTCATCGAACTGCAGTCTGAAAACCCTCCCTGAGTGTTCCTGTTGAATAACCATTTTTTGTCATAGTGGGAAAAATCAAATATTTTTTTTAATAAAGCATCTATAACATTTAAAACAAGAATAGTTCTGATTACAGAATAATGTATTTTTGTAAATGCCCATTTCAAATTTCTATGCAAGCTGCTGTATAAACTACCTTTTTGAAGTATATTTAAAATATTTAAATAGCATGATTTGTGTAATAGTCTTATGTAAATATAAAACATTTAACATTTCTAACATTTTGCACTGTTTACAACACATTTGCATCAATGCAATGTACCTAAAAATTAAATGAAGTGATTGCATATAATCCCCTGAAAAAGGTCACTTTAGTGGAAAACTGAATGAATACAACTAGTTTATTTTTGACAAAGCTGACAGTAGGGGGGGGGAAACAGATGCCAGAAACACCAAGCACTGGAATCCAGAAAATTGTCAGGAAGAAGTTTTCATCAACTCACCACAAGAGTCCGCAGACACAAAGTTCCTGCTGGTGCACGAGGATCCAAAGCAGCTACTAGATCCCAAACTTTAATTTTACTACCAACAGAAGACAGAGGACTTGGTTAAGTAAAGGTTTATACAGTAAATCAAGCGCAAAATAAAATACAGTAGGTTTCCAAGACAAAAGCAACAATATAGAGCAGTACAAGAGTTAGTAGTAGAAGACAAGGTGAAAGATTACTAAAAGACTTTGGCAATCATTGATATTATTGATACCCACCTCCTCTAATAATTTCTGAAATGCAATAATTAAATACGTTTGACAGTTTACATAACACTCATTCACCCTAACAAGTGAAGATTCCTTGTGAATTAACTGCAGAAATAAATATTAATCCCTCGTCCTGAACAACAGCGCTCACTATAAATCTTAACTACCACCTGCAAAGATTCACGACTGCTCAATAAACATCACCATCAAATAAGTACAGCTAAAACTTTCTATAAAATGTAAAAACAATGTCATAAACAGGGTGTGTCAATACTTGCATCTGAAGCTGTAGGTGACATGTCAGGATTGATAGTCCTGCACAAGAGTGCAGTTTTCAGGCAGGTCTGGTTATTTTTCTCCACTTGTCCTGCACAAGTATTAACCAGCAGGTATTAATTGTTGGCTGGTGGCCTCTAGAAATGCGAAATGGCCTCTGCCTAAGCTGTTTCCTCTCTCTGACTGACAATTTCTTACTTTCCTTGAGTATAGAATTATACTGTGAAACATACCAAAAAGCTAAAAGATATCTTAATATAACTAAAATACATGCAACTTCACAGACTATTACAGCAGCAGATGTAGTGAATCTCAATGCACTGAAAATCATGTGTTCCAAACTGGGGAACAAAAGGGGAAAATTATTTAAAATGAAAAATAAAAGTTTTGAACTCACCCATCATAAGCTCCACTAACTATTCTTTTGTTGTCGAAGCGAATACATCGAACTAGTTCTTCATGTCCTTCCAGTACTCTTAAACATGCTCCACACTCAATATCCCACAACCTGGAGAGAAAGACATTTAAATATATATTTGATTTGTTTTTCTACTCTTCTCCAATCCTGTACCCTAAGGAAATTATGGAGAGCTGCGTGGACACAAAATCATTCAATTAAACAAAATGGCTTTAAAATATCATTTTGTCAAATGAAGCCCTCATGAGTACAATTACTCAAGAAACAGCATTCATATGACAACACTGAAACACCAGCAACTAGTAGTCACGTTAGAGGCAGAAAATGAAGTAACTGAAACAATCCTGGCATTAACAAGGGTGAAGAGCAGAACAAATTTTAACCAAGGTTTTATACTCGGTTGAGAACTGTAGTGACTCACACATTCTCACCTGATTGTGTTGTCTGAGGATCCACTAACTACGAGTCTGTCTCTGTATTGTAAGCACGCGATACCCCGTTTATGTCCATTAAGAGTTCGAACAAACTCACAAGTACTGGTATTCCATACCTGCATAGCAAAAGAATCAAAGCCAGAGAAAAATGAACCCCAGATTATCCCTTTTTAAGAAGTTAACATGTATTTTGCATTCACAAAACCAGAGCTGAAAAACGTGAACAATCTGTGACAGGGTTTACCCACTAATTAAGCTATAATCCTATTATGCAAATCTATTTAAGAAAAAATTACAAGCCACCAACTGTAACCATCTGCAAATGTCAATTTATATTTAATCTGATTTGTCATTGTATTCATGTTGCTAATTTAATGCCACTGCTTTGCAGGGGTGGGCTGGGGTATCAAACTGGTGATCACCAGGGTAAGGAACTCTATTCACAGACAAGGTGGATTTGTGTTTACTAGGTTAGGAACCCTGTATAACCCTGTGTAAAATGTATGGTTAAATATTCCAAACAAATCTGAGGTCAACAAAAATATTGAATATTTAAAATGGTGGATATGAATTTAAAAAGCAAAGAAAACTTAAAGAAAAGCTGGTGCATATGTCATCATGCTTTTTCTTTGTAAAGCAAGTTCCCAAAACATTTGCAGGTTCTCTTACCTTTATAGTCCTGTCCCCAGAGGCAGAGACAATGTATTTATCATCAAAGTCCACCACATTAACTGCTGCACGATGCCCCACTAGCACCCTTCTAAGAGTAATGTCTGTGGGGGAGGCCATATCCCACACTGCAATGGACCGGTCCTTTGAACAAGTTACCATCATGCCGTTATTGAACCGGAGATGTAGTACCGCCTCACAGTGATGGATTAACGTGTTTAACATCTCACCAGTGTTCACGTCCCACACTCTGGAACAAAAAGAACAATAACAGCCTTGCTTTGTTATTTGCATGTTCATAAAATCTTGTACGTCAACATTATGCTGAGCTGTAACATTTCCCTAATGATCATTCTATTATGACAAACCACTAACATATCTTCTGATCATCTCATTTTGCTGCCAGAAAATAGAATTCTAAAATGCTGCTGATCAACACTGTGGTGTCTGCTACTTGATGCTAAATCAATGAGAAAAATATTTTACGAAATATAGATGCAATATTAAAGTATTTAAAGCACTTTCTCGACTCCTGTATATTCTTTTTCGGAGTAAAACATAAATCCATAAACTATGCAAAAACCTAAATATTTTTCTATTATACTTGGATGACGTGGGGATCAAAATTTAAATGGTCTTTCATAATACCATCGCAGCATGTTACTTATGAGTGCAAAAAGACGATTTATGAGTCTGAAGACAAGGTAAAAATATCCCATACCTGACGGTGGAATCTGAAGATCCAGTGATGATCACTCTCTCATCGTATTGAAGACACAACACTGAGCCTGTGTGTCCCGTAAGAACTCGCTTACATTCTAATGTATTCTTATCCCAAATCTGGAAAACAAAAATGCAAAAACCTTTCTAAGGTAGGTAATTGTTAAAAACAATAGAACAAAAAAAGAAAATTTACATAACCCGTGTTCAGAAGTATTCATGAACGAACACTTGCCTTTATAGTGTTGTCTCGAAGACCGCTCACAATCTTCTGATCATCATATTGAAGGCAATAGACCCCTTTGCTGGTTTCACTGCGGCAGTGGATGCGCTGTAAACTATGTCTTCCACATCTCCAATTGGACTCTATTGTCTAAAAAACAACAAAGGCTTTTACTGCTTTTACTGCTCAGAGCCTCTACATAAGGTAAGGACTAACTAAGGCAAGACATTAACAGGTAATGGCTTTACATTAATAACTATAATAGAACATGAAGCTTAAAGGTCTGATTGTACACTACTGTCATCAGATGCATGCCCATTTAAGCCATAAAGAGGAACCATGGACTTAATTATTAATGTTGTCATCAAATCCCTCACAGTCTGTAGGGAAAACTGAGAAATCTCATCTGTCCCAAGATTAAGTTTAGAGTTATATATGGATTAATTCCATTAAATGGAAATAAAACAGCCATTTCATAGAAAAAATGACAAACTGATAGCTTTTTAGGATAAAACATAAAAAGATGGGCCAAGTTAGAGAATATTTATTCTCAACATTAAGAAAAGCTTTTTAATCAGTTCAGAGAATGAAATGTCATTTAACTTGCAACTGCCATTCCTTGAAGGGAGTCACTGTCTACTTACTTTCCTAGTTCTTCATTTTAAGATTAGTTTCATATTAAAAAACTCAGGTACTAGGCTACAGCTCCTACATGATCCTGCAGGTGATGCATTTTCTGAAAGGGCCAGCTTTCAGAAATTATGTACCTTTGACGTTTTGCTGGTTACTATGGATTAGAAAATGAAAACACTGAGATAAATGCTTTGTTAAACATTACTAATGTATAAGAAGATAAATACAATACACAACTTACATGTTCTGTTACAATTTGAAATATTAAGAAATAAACATTACAGGTACATTAAATTATACTCCCAACAGAAACAAGTAAAACCTCAATTTGGAGTATATATGCAGTTCTTACTTCAATGTCCTGTATTATTTTAGGATAAAGTGCTCTGTAAAAGGAATTGGGTGGTGTCGTCCCATCTGGAGGTTTATTTTTAAAAAGATACTGGCCCCTACAAGAACAAAAACAAACAAACAAATAATGACTAATTTTCCCTAGGAAATAAATCACAAAAGACTTGTTACATCTTGTTTCAGCACTGCTGCAGCCTTGTGCTCAATTCAGCATGAAGGAAATCTGCTCCAAATGTAGACAATTTAAATCTGACAATCAGCCAACAATTATTACTGTGCCAATAGTCAGCCTTTTGCAATGTGATTGATCAAAAAGCTCTTCTCTGAAGTATTTGAAATAAATTTTAATGGCTTGACATATTAACAATCCATGTGTTCTTTTCCCTTCTGAAAGGCACAGTCTATTTAAGGAGGTGCTTGATGACCTCTCTTCAGGGGACACAACTTTACATACTGCAACGCTGCTTGACTGCTAATTCATTCATTTCATAAAATGTAATAATGGTCAACAGCTTCTTCATCTGACTTTTATGAAGAAGAATCTTGCAATTCTAATGTTAAAGGTAACTAACAAAAATATTTTCAACGATTATACATATAACATTAACTGCTTTCTTCCTGTTTCAGACACACACATAGGGATAATAATGAAACTCTTTGAATACCAATTTGGAATGAGCTGATTTTAAAAACAAAACTCGTCTGGCAACATCTTCTGTACTGCTAGGAAGAGAATGAGACAAATGGACATGCTCATCCAACACATCCAGCTGCGGAGCTATTCATCCTTTGACACACTGCAAGCTCCACAGCTCCTGACAAAAGAGGCCGCGCTGAGGAGAAGCGCGCCTCTCACTGATGTCACTGCCAGCCTGCAGGCGCCTGGCAAGTCTGAGAGAGTCTTGTCCAACTACTCCCAACTCTCCCCCAGCTGCACTGTCAATCTGGAGCTGCCTCCTGGAGAACCCCAGTCTCTGGCTCATGACAGACCTAGGCTCAAGGTAGTGGCGACTGGATCCTAGAGATCAACTGTGCTCACTGAGCTCCTTCGTGTGTTGAGCTACACAGGAGTCCCTGCAATATCTCTTATACCCATTTCAAGGGGGATGTCAAATTCCAGACTGAGCAGTTTCAAACTCAAGATTTTTTTAATCAAATGCATGTTGTTTAGAAATGCAAGATAGCTATTCTGTTTCTCATCTCCACAAAATTACTGCACTGGGATGCAAATTTAAAACATGCAATTCGAATACTTCAATCAGAAGATATCTCCCTTGGAATTATATACACTGAAGGAAATTAATGCCCAAGATCAACACTGCTGAATAATTATTATGAAAATTATCAATGAAGTCTTAAGTGATAACAGTTCTAATCAGCATCTATCAGTATAACTATTGCAAGAAAGCATAATAAATTCACATCAGACCATTTCTGCACCAGTAATGGGTAACAGTGGCTGAATTTCCAATGTAAAATGGTCAATGTAAAATGTAATATTCTAATAACTCAATTTCACACATACAGGCATTCACAAAACATGTTTCACTAACAGATGTTTAAATTCTATATAGGTTGTAGTAGACTACAAAAAAAATATCTTAAGACACTCTCCTACAGTTAATAGCAAATCTGATGTTTAGCTATTTTGAAAACCCAAAGATGATGTAAATTAGAACTCGTTCAAATAGTATTTCCATAAAGTCACTGTTGTGATTTAAAATATGAGCAACTTTTGTTTTTAACAGTAATTTAGCATGAGAACTTTTAATCAGAAATTTAGCAAATACACTAATCACACTGGAGACAGCCCTCACAATAACATTTATATACTTGGCATTAAAAGAAACACTATGCATGCATTTAGAAAAAGCAAATGGATTTTGGATTGAGTTAATCTTTTGGCACCATTTTAATTGATTATGTGACTGTTATATATTTGACTGTTGCATAAGCACTAAATAACCTCAATAGTGAACATTTTTAAAAAACACTTGTTGGGCTCTTCATAAGTTTAACAGTACATACATACATAATTAAATTGTGCTCCTTTAAGAAAAATATAATACACTGTTAAATTAAAGTAATAAACATAAGAAAAAAACGCACAAAATTAGCTGGTTGCAAAATTCAGAAGAGTAAATTATGGTGGTTATTTCTAAACACACTACTAAAGAGTGAGTGAAAGTAAATTTGCTGAACTAATTTGCTTGCTTTGGTACTTTGCTTTCACAATTTTTGCTTTTTTTTGCATTTTTGACCTATAATGTCTGGAAAAAGAGCTGTAATTAAGTGTAAAAATGGCAAAGCTTCAGTATGGATGTTTAAATGCAGATTATAAAGCCAATCCATGGAATCCAGTGAGATTCTTGTTGATATCGGACATAGTTATTTCATTATAAAATTCTTGAAAATGGTGATCATGTGCAAAGCATCAGTATTACAGCTACTGTCACATACCCAATGATCCTCTTACATATTCATCACGGTAAAAAAGTGCTATCAGGAACACTGTGCTCAAACAAATCCTTTAAGACCTTTTCTAAGAGCACTCTTCTCAGATACTGAACCATAGCATTAAATTTGCAATACAAAAACAAAGCTCTAAAGTACCTCACACAAGAAATCAAGTAAACTATGACAAGAATGTGTTTTGCACATGGAAAAGATTATCATTAAATACAGTCTTCAGTTTTTCAACCTTTGGAATATGTGGAATCAAAACTGCTTTATGTCTCCTTTGGCATTACCCAATGGGACTAAAAATACAGATCAAGTAGCCCTGTCATAACAAATGCTTCTTTTCCAGCTGTGATTTCTAAACAGATGTAAGTGCGAGATGTACATGGCTCTCAATGTTACCCCGCTAAATGCAAAAAATGACAAATCTCAACTCAAGGCTAGTCAAGAATATTTCAGCCACTTTGTAACCATAATCAGTCTTCAATAAAGCAATTCTGAAGTAACACTGTGGCACAATCAGTATTTGAATATTCATATATCACTGCAGGTTAGAGGATCCATCCAGCACACTGGAATGTGCTATACAGGATGTGCCGAAATTAATTTCTGCTTCATAAAGCCTGATAGTGCCTTGCCTTACCATCCTCTTCTCTCTGCTAGTCCTCTCCACAGAGAGTCTGTTCTGACCATCCTCTCAATCAGCTTCTTCCATAGCATGCCATCCGAGGTAACTCTGTACCACTCCTTGCACACCAGCTCCGCTGAACACAATGACCTGGCATCAAGGTAGGATAAGATATTCTCTGCAATGTGATCCAAGCCTCGTGCTGAAAAACAAAGAACAGCAAACGCATTGCCTAAATCAAGACCAACTGAAACATTCCCCAATCTGCTGCCCTTCCACCTCAATCCTTCCCAGATGGGTCATTTCCTAAGGCAATATTACAGACAACAAGCTTAATTATACTGTATTCATTCATTTCCCCCCCCCAAATACACCTCCTGGCATATCTGAAGAAGTCAACTAAGTGAACAAATGACCAGTGGAAAGTCTCCTCTTGCAATACAGCAGACAGCAGAACACAGAAGGAAAGGGAAAAGACACATGAACTACCATGCTTGAGGCCATCTGGATCTTGTGCAGCACAGACTGTGGAAAATCTCATGATTTTATACAACATGGTTCAAAAATCACTTGAATAGCTCACAAAAATGCCAGGGGACAAAGGTGCCCTGTGTCACAACAAAACCAGCCACAAGTACTAGTCACCCAGATTGCACACAAAAACACAATGTGCAACTTCCATATCCCCTCTCTGTAAATGGGATCACTTTCTTAATGTACAAAAGTCATGTCTACAACGCAAGGCAACAGTCATGTTTAATTCCTTTTATGTTGAGCAGGTCATCAGCTGCCTTTCTGTTCTGTATTCTTACGCTTGGTTGTGACGAATTAGTTCAGAAACACTGTACATGAGTTTTGATTAGCTTTGGATCCCAATGAACTTAATAATCATGATTTTTAAGTGTTGCTTTTAAGGAGTTGGACGGTCTTGTACTATAGTCCTCTTTATCCTGTGAGCCTATAACAGATCACAAGGGTCTGAAGTGTCATGATTCATATGATTTCATTAACTGAAAAGGCTACTTTTTTTGCCTTTGGTCTAAAAATGTGTATACGACATTTGTAAAAAACCCTTTAGGTTTCTTGTAGGAACAAGATGTTTACATCAAGCACATCTTAAACCTTTGCAAGCCAAATCAAAATATTAAGGCTTTTTTCAGACAGAATTTGAAGGTTTTTACAACTTCAGTCAAGAACATGAATCCGAAACCTCATGTTCTTCAACCACAGAGGGCCTCATAGTTGCAGTAGCGCAGAAGCACTGAAATGTAGAAGAATGAATTAGGCTTTGGCGGGTCTCAATCACGTGTTAGCTGACAGAGGCACACTGGTCAAAGAAGCCATCATCTGACTTTTATCAATGGGAAATATCTGTGGCACCATGCCACTTTGTAGAAATCAATTACAGTTCATGCATCATGCTACTCATGCAGAACAACGATGACTAATGTAGCAGACATCTATACTACACTCATAAAAATGGTGCTTACAGTTCATCCTGTTCAAGCTGTGTTTCCTTAGTAAAGCATTTACCATGAAATGGTTCTGGAACTATTATAATTAGTATTATAACTAGTTATAATTTAGAAACACCATAATGTCATTTGAGCAGTTTAAAAATAGAATTTTTAATACATCCATGTCAAACACTATAATTCCTTAACATACTTTATGAAGGTATTGTCAAACCAGAACAATGTGTACTCTTAGTTTAACAATTGGGTACTTTAGGTCAAGGATTTAGAGTCTGACAGCCCCTCAGTGGTATGCATGCAACCTACAACACAAACTAACAGGGAACTTTTTTTCAGCAATTTGTGGAATGTTAAAAAGAAGGTGATACAGACATAAATGTCAATGCTGAGACAGGGTGGTTGATGCAAGAGTAATTTTTTTTTTTAGTTTTTCTTATTTTAGCTCAGGCATCACACCAAATTTGTTACTGAAAACAAATTACTATACAAGTCAAAATACAATGGCAAAGTGGCTGATGTCGGGCACACCAAAAGAAAAAAGGATCCATGATGATTCGGGCAAACAGGACCTTGAAGAAACTGCTCTTCACTGAACAGAACTGAGTTCAAAATCGGTAAAGAAGTTATGATCCCCCTGGCTGTGCTAGTAGATGCTGGTAGAAAATATGATCATATTTTTCAATGTTTCATAATTCAAGCATCAGATTTTTAATGTGATATAGTATGTCATCTGTGTACATACAAATATACTGGAGGTACTTTAGGTTATAATGTTTAAAATGGTGGTTTGCATATGTGATTCATCTTAAAAAATATGGCGGGTACTGGTTTTTACCAGATCCGTGTGCGGTTCCCCTTAAACGTCAGTACAAACAATGCAGTCAAGTGAGAAGATGTGATGTGCAAGTTGGCAGAGATCAGGAACTGCTGCTCAAGATAATGTTATATTATCATATCCATGAACAATTCACCTTCTCTATAAACATGTGATTCAACAAAATTGACAAGTCTCTTGTGCTCACTCAATTTGAATGACTATTAGTTTATCCATTAGAAATGAGATGACACAGAATAAGATGTCTATCAAAGTAAAAAAGAGGCTCAAAAACTTTACACCCAGTAAAGTAGAACTGCCTGCCTATAGACAACTATTAATACAATAATAAAAGCTACATTTACATTCAAACTAGTTAGCTTATTCATTTTACCATTACAGTCAAACTTGTTACCGTAACCTGCCAACCTTTGGCAGGAAAGTAAAGTAATCTGCCAAGATACTACTTTACTTTCCTGCCAAGGATATTTAAAGTATGAATGACCACTTGTCTAATGCAAACAGGATCCTCAATTCTAGCGTAACAGAACAACCCCCATACTGTATATAACATCACCAATGTGGAACATTTTCATATGTATGAAAAAAACTGTTGCTGACAGAACTGCAAAACAAAAGACATCTCAAAGAAACAATGCTCCATCATCAAATTTAACTTTTTAAAAGCTTAACATTTTGACAAGTAATAGAAGCTAGCAATTCACACATTAACTCTGTAGTTAACATAATATTTTCTTCAGTCATTTACAGTGCATTTAAAACATGCATGTCAGAGAAAAAAAAAGGAGACCACTTGTGTTAAAAGTGACCATATGCTCAAAGTCCCTTGAGTATCCCTTAATGTAGGTTAAACTGAGAAATCACTACTGGGAACACACATAAATAAAACATTCTAACCCTTTTTAGGTCACAGAAACTATTCTAAATCACTTCTTAAACCAGGGCCAAATAAACTAACCATTTACTAAAACAAGTTCATTCGTACTCAAACATGACAAACATTCTCCTATGTTTTTAATGAAAATCATGTTTCTACTTATTTCATTTACAGTTTAAGGGAAGACAGAAGTTAGCTGGCCTCACATGGTAACAAAACCTAGAGTTATTTATAGGCCCTGACCTAAAATATGACACTTCAATAGTTGCAACATTTCCCCCCCAATATAAAAGAAAATAGTCTAACAAAAAAAGAGCAAGGAACAACGGGAAAAAAAATCAATATAAATCCAGAGGGAACATTGTAACTTATAGCCTCTCCTCCTACAGACACATGGACAAACAAAAAGACAATCATTCATATAGATTAGATTCTCCTTCGAAGACACGTGACAGTGCTCTCTCCATTCATTACACAGTCTTCATTACACAAAGGCACATTACATTTCTCCTGTTCCTTAACATTTCTGGATACAATGAATGCAGGGTTGATTTGAGCTTCCTTTATTTTCTTGTAATGTTCTTCACTCAACCCTCCCGAGTTTCTCTTTCCTACATATTGCCTAGGCACATTTTTATACTGCTGCCTTTCATTTAACATTGTGATACCATTTTATCATTTACTTGAAACTGTATTCATGAAGTCACAATAAGATGTACAAAAACACTTGTGGTCACTACCGAAGCTGGAAAATAAATGGTGAATGGTGAATTCTCATCTGTAAACAGCATGTGTAGAAAACTGCTGGCTTGCATCCTAGCTAAGAATCTGACAATGAGAATGAAACAAGACAGTTCTGCATTTATTAAAGTTCTTGATCTTGTATTCTGACACACAATGCTACAAAATGAAATCCTTTCGCTCTATCACATACTACTGTCTTAATCTAAAGGAATACCGGGACAATTTTCCAGTTAATTACAAACTGAGTGATTATGCAATGACTAGGGAGGAGACAGAGCTACGCTAAAGAAAAAATAAAAAAAGAAAGTTCCAATGAACAAATATGCCTATTTGTTAGCTTCTATAGTACCTGGTAGTGCAGTGATGAAGTCCCTCTGCAGCATTGGCTTCAAGTACGAGTTGATGTGGCCATGCTGATAGTGGCACATCCGGGAAATTAGGTGCTCAACAAACTCCACCTGGTCTGATTCAGACCACTGGTCAAAATATTTAACACACAGCTCCTTCTCCTTCTCATAGTTGGCAGATAGCTTCCTCTGTTTGGGGACGATCATGCTTGACGTACCATTGGCAAGTTTAGTCTGGAATAGAAAATTCGAACAAAAAATGTAAACCAGAAAGAACATACAGTACACTTATACATTAATTAAATAAGCCAACCCATCTTGCCAAACACTTTAGATTAGACACTCGTGACTGGGATCATAATGCAGTAAATATGTCCATCATTTTTAGAAGGGAAAAAAGGTAGACAGGTTTTCAAAGACAAGCAAGGAAGCTTCAGATGATGCAACAGATTTTTAACCTATTCACATGATGATGAAACACAATGTAGACTGTTTCTAGGAACCTTTTAATGGTATTTGACTCAGCTTATAAATTGTATTTGCCTGAATCATTTTCTGTTCATCAGCTCTCAAACATGTGAGTCAAGCCACCGTTTCATAGATACAAATAAGGCTAAAAGCAGCTTGCATCCTCACTAAACAGGTTTCCTTAGACTGTCAAGTACAGTAAGTCAAGTGGAAATCCAGGGTAGTTTTTAGTTTTTGGCATATTTTCAATTTCACTGCACTGTCAGTTTGACTTTGTCATCAGCATTACCTTAAACTTCACAAAAAATGATCCACCCACTTTAAGTGAAATGCAGGCAAATATCAGTGATAAAATAAGATCCAGTCAGCTAACCGATCTGAGAGAATTGTTTTCTTTGTAGTGGCAATCAGAAGGTACAAGTATCACAAGATGCTTGAATTCAGTAATTCACCTACAGTTAAATACAACAGAGCTTCTCTTCAAAGAACATAATCCCAAAGGCATCAATGACGTCTTTCGCTATTCACAATTGAGCTTGCAAGTATTCAACTTGCCGTTTTAATTCCCTGACATAATTTTGCTAATCATTTTAGAAACAAACCATATCTGCCTAATGTGATGAATTATTTGAATCTGCAACTGTTGAGGAGGGAGGGGATGTTATAAAAAAAAGCAGCTCAATGACAGCACTAATTACAAGACGTTTTTCCCTGTGCTGGTGTAAAATATGACAGAGCTGCAGCTTTGGGAGTGCGGAAAACAGCTTCTCATTTCCAAGGAGACACTGACAATCTCTTCTCTCTCCTCATCTCTCAAACCTCCTGAGCAAGATTTAACTTCCTCATTTAGTTAATTACCGAAAGAGATCATCGTGTCCCTGCGATTGCAAAGAGAGTGGCAGACACTTTATCGCGTTAAGTGTGAATTTGATCGATGGCTACTGCTGAAACTTAATAACTTCACCCCATGGCAAATTGTAAGATAAATATAATAGGCGAGCTTCTGACAGTAAAAGGCTGACAGTACAGAAAGGCTGTTTTTCTTTTTTCTTCCCCCCAATGACAGAAAACTAAAACAACAAAAACAATCTTACGTTCTCATAATTGGATATATGTCAGCAGCAGAATGTCCTTAAGGGTGCTGAAATTGCAAACACTCAGCTTTACCTATGCCATTTCCAAAACTACTGGCAAATCTGAGTGGGGTAACTGATCAGTTATGATTACTCCAATGATAATTACAAGTTTAACCTCACACCATTAATAAGTTTGTTACTCTGAGTCTCAAAAGTACTATCTTTACCACAAGAATAGTGAGAGCAGCTTGTTAAAATACAATACAAATTGGCTATCATCAGATAAAAGAGAAACCACCATATATTGAAATCCAAACTTTTGATTTAGCAGCACATTTCAGGTAATTCTGTTTTTGGCTTTGACATGATATTGATATTCCATGTGGCTTGTGTAAAACACGCCAATTTTTGGACTTTTTTGTTGGTCCCTGGTTATTAATTACATCCGACGCTTGTCTTTTTTAAAGACAAAGACTCACAGCAAATTAAGTGACATCAAACAATTTATTTTGGCAGATATGGAAACCTACACTATATAGTAGCAATACTTCATTCCAACAACAATTTCATATCCTCAAGACTGAGCCCAACTCGTTTCTTAGGGGATAATTTCATTACCTCAGCTTCCTGGACAGGCACTCCCCATAGCTGATAAACTGTTTGGAATACTGTATTACTTTTAGGACAAGCTCCAAGCTCCTATTCTTTACATTAAAATACAAAAATGACTAAGACAAACATTTGTAAACTGCAAGTTAAAAAAAACCTACCAGGAAATTATGCATATAAAATAAGAAGGGGATCTCATGAGTCTAGAAAATGTACTATGCCCTATAAGGGAACAAGCAATAGGTTTATTCAATGCTGAAAAGAGAAGAAAGAAAACATGTTTCGGCTCAGAGCCAAAGAAGGCTCCACAGCCGAAATGTTTTCTTTCTTCTCTTTTCAACATGGAATTAACCTATTACTTGTTCCTTTCCAGCCTACGCATGCTGATGTACCTACCCACCTGAACTACTATGCCCTATAATACAGACATCTCTATTTCATGCCCAGCCTGTGCCAACTTCGACAGATATTCTGCAAAAAGTGGAACTCCATTCTTACAACTGGGGGTGTTTCATTCAGTTTAATCCTTGTAAAAAGAAAAGTGAGAAATCCTTTTAAAAATAGCCACTGACTGCAAGAATATTCTACAGTAGGGTGGGTGGGACATTTTCTATAGTGGTCTTAGGTTTTTAGATCTCTACTCAGTTTGGAAGAGGAATCTGGTTTCCAGGCGAAAGGGATGAGAATGCACTGAACCTAGAGGAGTGTTTTAAAAGCAACATACCCTTTAATCTTGCACCCTTAATGACAGATTTATTTTATGACAAGTTTCAGGAATTTCATTTGGCTCTGGTATGAAGATTATGTTATCATTGTGGACCTAAATCTAGGAACAGGTAATCGTGTGACAAAGAAAAGGAATAATTCCTTAAAATAACACCAGACTGCAGCATACAGCAATTAGTCTCTTCTGCATTGCTAGGACATATTAAATGTCAGAATTTTAAAGAAATGTCCAGGTACAAAGAGTGGCTCTTCTAAAAAAGAGGGGGCTGTGGAAAATCACCTTTGTGTGAGCTGAGCAATGATTTCAGTGTTGTTAAATAAAAGGTATGAAAAGGCGGGTCTCTGAAGGGGTTAAAGCAGGCAGCAGCTGTGAAGCCACATACATCATTCTATCTGTCTCTGGTTCTGCTAATTAAACGGTTGATCACAGAATGATACCCCCATGTGTTTGTCTTCATAGCCTTCCAATTGGCTGCTGCTTCCCTCGCCCAGCCCACCCTGTCTGAAGCACTTACATTAATGTGACAGGAGTCTGAAGATGGATTACCCACTGCCATATTGCCCATCTTCTCCAATCAAGAACTATCTGTGTAAATTGATTGTTCTAATTTGCTCTCATTATTATTACAATATCAGGACAAAATAACACACACAGCTCACTGTCAAGGCCATGAAAATCAGCCATTAGTTATAAACAGACACTGAGTGCTTTTTATGAAGAGTATCGCAGTGAGTTGAAACATCAGATGCAAACATCCTAATCAGGTTTGCCATCTCTTCTTCGTTGCAGTGATATAGCATCTAATTACTTCTACTTCGAAGGATCAAGAAATAAAAAAACTACACATTTATATTTTTTTCCTACAGCACCTGCTTAACCTTTTCATCATAGTTTTTCAGAACACATGGTTAAAAGGAAAGAAGTGAAACGTAACAATAAGCTAATTAAATTCAAAACAAAAGCCCTATTTTTTTCAACCATCAAGCCTTGGAAAAACACTGACAGCTTTTCTTCTTTGTATTTTTTTTGTAATTTCATTACATTTACACAGATCATATCCACAATCCTTACATATAATTATTTGCTTAAGAGATTTTACTTAGCTAAAAGCTTTTTTACCCCCCCAACATCCCCCAAAAGATAAACATGTTCCTGTGTAGTCCTAGTACATTCTACACCTTTGTCATTCACATAATCTTTCATCTACACACCTAACAATACTTTTTAATGCACAGACTGCAGTAGTTACTGATATTAACTTTACACAAATAGTTAATATTTAATGACCTCCTGTGGGATAGAACCCCTTCCAGCTCTGAGAGCAATCCTTATTTTGAGCAGCTCCAAATAGGAAAACATTATAAAAGCTCATGAGCAAGATAAACACAGTATACCACTACATGTTGTGAGTTATTCTGCTTACACAGCACAATTCAAAACTCAGGAGTAGATAGCGGATTGCAAAGCATGGCTAAAACATTTGCAAATGATCGGAGAGGGGTAATAATGATGGATCCCCATTACGGGCTGCCTGTCCATTAGCGTCAATGGTGCTCGTTTCATTAGCAAGAGCAAGGAGGAGGGAATGGTGGTGTGGGATTAACAATTTAATCAATCGAAGATCTGGATCGCATCCTTAAAACTTTATTACAATCCCTGTGGCTCCATCAGGGTGAAGTATTTTGGCAAGGTCAGCACTGCAGGAGTACAAGGTAGAAGAATTGAGGTTGACTTGTAGGAAACATCCAAATTCTCTAATGCTACTACATTGGTCTCCTAGAGGATTATCAATTTAATGTAGCTTGCCTTAGCAAAAATTTCAAGTGCTGTGAGCAAAAAATATATTAATAGGCCGGGTGCTGTATTACACAGGCAAATATATAAAAGTTACTAAGAAACACTGACAACAAACCTTTAAACTCTGCAAAGTTTAAAAGTCTGATGGCTAGGCACTTTTGGTATATGGAATTCATCCATTCGTTCTTACTCCCTCAGCAGGATTTAAACATGTGACCTCCTGCCCTGAAGGAAAGTGTGCTACAAACTGGGCCACCAATACAGCCCCCTCCCACCCCTGCTGGTCCCATTTCATTAACCCCATCCTGTTTCCATGACCTGGTATGCTGGCTGCTCATTTATCCAAAGGTAATGCTTTTTTTTTTTGAAGTGTTGAAGTGCCAGCCTATTTCATATGTTTGTTTCACATGGTATCTACACAGCTGCTGGATCAGAATGATGTGAAAAGTCTGGTTAGGCTGTGCTGAATTCTGGTCCCAGATCAGCACATCAATGTATCACATTAATACACTGCAGCACCTACTCCCTGGGAGCCATTGATTTTTTTCCAGCCATTT